TGATCTTGGCTCCACTGCAACCTCCGCCTCCAGGTTCAGTGATTCTCCTGGTTCAGCCTCCCGGTAGCTGGGGACATTACAGGTGCGGCACGACCACACCCCTGGCATTTTTCTGTTTTTTTTTGAGATGGAGTCTCACTCTTTTGCCCAAGCTGGAGTGCAGTGGCATGATCTCGGCTCACTGCAACCTCTGTCTCCCAGGTTCAAGTGATTCTCCTGCCTCAGCCTCTGGAGTAGCTGGGATTATGGGTGCCCACAACCATGCGCGGCTAATTGTTTTTTGTTTGTTTGTTTGTTTTTAGTAGAGATGGGGTTTCACTAAATTGGCCAGGCTGGTCTTGAACTCCTGACCTTAGGTGATCCACCTGCCTGGGCCTCCCAAAGTGCTGGGATTACAGGTGTAAGCCACCGCTCCTGCACAGCTTAGCTTTTAATATTTAACCACTCCGCATTGAAATAATTGTTATGTTAGGGAGGCCTGTGTTAGTGAGACCTGGCCTGCTACATTCTCGCATCTGTGGGGCGGGTACAGGAGCTACAAGGGCCGAAGAGGCACCTCAGCGTGGGGGCCAGGACGTGGGGCAGAGTGCAGCCAGGGTTCTGACTCCTGGGGTGGGAGACTCCCAGGGCATCATGTCTCTACCCAAGTCCAGGGGGATGATTCCTTTTCCTCTTCTTAGATCCGACAGTCCCAAGACCCAAGCCAAGGGTGACCCTTCACACTGGCTCAGGCCTCTGCAGGCATCTTGGCTGAGGCTCCCCAAGAGGCTTGCCTACAGCCTTTGCGCAAAGCAGCCCAGCACAGAGCTCCCAACACAGAGCTCCCAACACAGAGCAGCCCAGTAAAGATGCCCCTAGCACAGAGCCCCCAACACACAGTTCCCCAGCATATAGCCCTCCGGCACAGACGCCCCGAAAACAGAGCCTCCCAGCACAGTCCCCAACACAGAGCTCCCCAGCACAGAGCCCCCAAGCACAGACGCCCCCAGCAGACTCCTCCAGTACAGAGCGCCCCCGCAGAGTCCCCCAGCACAGAGCCCCCAACACAGAGCTCCCCAGCAGATGCCCAACAGAGCCTCCCAGTGTAGAACCCCCCAGCAAAGCCCCCTTGCACAGACACCTCCAGCACAGAGCCCCCAGTACAGAGACCCGCAGCACAGGAATCCCCCCAGCACAGGAATCTCCCCAGCACAGGAATCCCCCCAGCACAGGAATCTCAGCACCGGGACCCCCAGCACAGGTTTTCCTCCAACGCCTGTCAAAGGTGGGCCCCGGGGCTCCCAGGACCCTGCTCGCACATCGCGGCTGACCCCGCAGGGCCCCTGGGACCTGCCGCCAGCAGTCTGAGTCCGGTGCTCCGGGACTCACCTAGCCTCCAGGCAGCAAGGCCTTTCTCGGGCCGCAGGGCGCTTCGTCCGCCTTGGCCTCGCGCCGCCGGGGGCTGGGGCGGGGTTGCTGCCGGCTCCGCCCTCGCCTGCCAGCTTCCCAAAGGGCCCGAGCGCTGCCTCCGCCGCGTGTCCCGGGGTTGGCCCGAGCCCGTGCGGGCCCTTTAAGGGCCGGGGGCGTGTGACGGGCCCGCCCCCTCCCCGCAGCGCCCGCCGTCCGTTAAGTGCGAGCCCGGGCGCAGGGGCCGGATCTGGCCGGGGGCCGGCGGTGGTGTGGAAGCGGCGCGCCATGTACACCATCACCAAGGGGCCCAGCAAGCTGGTCGCGCAGCGTCGCACAGGTGCGCACGGGCCGGGGAACGGGAACGGGGACGGGGCGGGGCGCGGCGGCGGCTGACCGCCCTCCGGTGCCCGCAGGTCCCACGCAGCAGCAGGTGGAGGGCCGGCTCGGCGAGCTCCTGAAATGCCGGCAGCCCGCGCCGCCGACCTCGCAGCCCCCGCGGGCGCAGCCTTTCGTGCAGCCGCCGGGACCTTGGCCCCTGTCGAGGTGAGACGCGAGCGGCCCCGGCCCGGCCCGGCTTCCCCTCCCCCGCCGGCCGCCCTGGCGCGGAGGGTGACCTTGGGGGAAATGTTAGTGAGGTCCGGCCACGTGCTGCGGGCGGGGCGAGCGCGGCGAGCGCTCCGGCGGCGGGGGGTGCGCGGGTCCTGCCCACTACGCGCCCGCGGGCCTGCGCCTCGCGCTTTCGCCTCACCTGGCCGGGCCCGGGCCCCCAGCGGGGAGAAAGCCGGCCCGCTCTTGGGTCGCGGGGGCTTCTAGCGGCCGACGCCGGCGCTTCGGGCGACCTTGGGCGGCGGCTGGAACCCTGACGTGCAGCAGGCCCAGGCCACCGTTCGCGGAGAGCGCCGGGCGCTGCTCCTCAAGGTCTCCCGGCTCTGCCCTTGCAGAGCTCAGTGGGGGAGACGTGCGTGTGCTTCCGTCGGGCAGGGCCTCTGCCCTCCTCCGGCCTTCACCCCAGACACCCTGGGGCAATGGGGCCTCCTCCCCTGCAATGGGGCCTCCTCCTCCCCTTGCTTCTGCCTTTCCTAACCCAGTGCCCTCCCAAGACCACAGGCGCCTCAGTCCAGCCACTGTGGCCTCCCCTTGGAACCTCAAGGGTCCCAGTGGGCAACACCAGGCCCACTGGCTGTTGTCTCTCTTTTTTTTTTTTTGGAGACTGAGTCTTGCTCTGTCTCCCAGGCTGGCGTGCTGTGGTGCGATCTCAGCTCACTGCAACCTCTGCCTCCCGGGTTCAAGCGATTCTCCTCCCTCAGCCTCCTGAGTAGTTGGGACTACAGGCGCCTGCCACCATGCCCAGCTAATTTGTATTTTTGTATTTCACCATGTTGGCCAAGATGGTCTCGATCTCCTGACCTCGTGATCTGCCCGCCTCTGCCCCCCAAAGTGCTAGGATTACAGGTGTGAGCCACCGCACCCGGCCTGTTCTCTTAAAGTCCCCATCTGAGGTCCTCTGTCAGCCAGTGAGACATGTGGGAGTTGAGTGGACTTCACCCCATGTGCGGCAGGGCTGGAGGAGCCCTGGGCAGGGCAGGGTGTGTGTTGCCCTCTGCTCCCTGGGGTCACCCACCTCCCCACCCCCAGGCCCCAGTGCTGGGAGCTTCTGGGAGCAGTGGGACCTCTGCATGAAGCTCCCACCCTGCTCCTGCACCTTCTTGGGGCAACCACCTTCTCTCTTTTTTTTTTTTTGAAATGGAGTTTCGCTCTTGTTGTCCAGGCTGGAGTGCAATGGCAGGATCTCCACTCACCGCAACCTCCGCCTCCCAGGTTCAAGCGATTCTCCTGCCTCAGCCTCCTGAGTAGCTGGGATTACAGGCACGTGCCACCACACCCAGCTAATCTTGTATTTTTAGTAGAGTCAAGGTTTCTCCATGTTGGTCAGGCTGGTCTTGAACTCCCAACCTCCAGTGATGCGCCCATGTCGGCCTCCCAAAGTGCTGGGATTACAGGTGTGAGCCACCGTGTCTGGCCAACCAACCCCCTTCCCTCTGAACCACCCCACCCCACGCTGCCACCCATCTCCCTGCCTCATTTTATTTTTTTCTTTCTGAGACAAGGTCTTGTTCTGTCACCCAGGCCGGGGGGTGCAGTGGTGCAGTCATGGCTCACTGCAGCCTCAACCTCCCAGGTACAAGCGATCCTCCCACCTCTCAACTTCTTGAGTAGCTGGGACGATAGGCGAGCACCACACCTGGTGAATTGTTAAATTTTATGCAGATGGGTCTCACTATGTTGCCCAGGCTAGTATTCAATTCCTGGGCTCGAGCAATCCTCCCGCCTTGGCCTGTGGAAGCGTTGGGGTTATAGGCGTGGGGCCACTATGCCTGGCCCTGCCCTGCCTTTTTTTCTCCTTGCTGCTTTTCGCTACTCCTCATCCCTCACTGACTGGGTGCAGGAGGAGGGTGTCGGGGTCCCTGCGCGTCTCCTCTGGTGCATCCGGAGGGTCAACTCTTGTCATCCACGACGTGTGCTGGCTCTGGTTCCTGCCAGGTATGGGTCTGGGCACTGCCCATGATGGTGACAGGCCAGATACACCTTTGTTTGTTTTTGAGACGGAGTCTCGCTCTGTCACCAGGCTGGAGTGCAGTGGCGTGATCTCGGCTCACTGCAACCTCCCCCTCCCGGTTTCAAGTGCAACCCCAGCCTCCCGAGTAGCTGGTATTACAGGTGCCCGCTACCATGCTTCGCTAATTTTTAGTATTTTTAGTAGAGATGGAGTTTCACCATGTTGGCTAGGCTGGTCTTGAACTCCTGACCTCAGGCGATCTGCCCTCCTCGGCCTCCCAAAATGCTAGGATTACAGACGTAAGCCACCAGGCCCTGCCCAGATACACCTTTGAAAAGTTCTTCCTCCTGGTGGGAGACGGGTTGGGAGGCAGTAAGATAAACTAAGGTGATATAAGTCATTGAGGAGATGAAATGGGGCCATGTGGTCACCTGACCCCAGGGCAGATGGAGGGCATGGGGACTGCCACAGGAAGGGACAATGGGATGAACTCCACAGGGCGAGAAGGGGCAGCCTGCGAGAGACGGGGGGGTCTGAGGCCCAGTGAGGGCAGGCTGGGGGGTTGGCTTGGGGGCTGTACTAGGTCAGGGCCGTGGACTCTGTTGTTGGATTTGTGATGATATCCTAGCGTTGCCCCCACTCAGCATGTGATGTGCTCGGGTGGATTCTCTCCCAAGCCCAGCTTCATGGGCTGAAAAAAGGGTGAACTGTGGAGGGGAGATGAAAGGATACACTCCACAGCCTTCAGCTCCCTGGGCTGAAGTTTGCCCGGAGCAGTGTCCCTGAAAGTGGGAGAGGTTGGCAGTGGTCCACAGGTGCACGCTGGGTGGGTGCCCTTTCCCCCAGAGAGCCGCAGCCTTACGTAACCAGAGCCCCTGGGGCAGTGCCTGCCTCCCGGGGGCCATCTCAGGCTGAGGGCCGCCACCTCCGCCCTGCGATTCACAGCCCCTGGCAATGTTTTTCTCTTCTTAGACATTGATAATCCAACCGCCAAGCTTTCTTGGAGTTTTTGGCTTTCCAAGATGGGAGTGGGTTGCAGGCAAGAGGGCTTTCCAAGTGGACAAACTTTATTCCCTCTGGTTTGTGTAGAAACTCAGGCAGCGGGCAGGCCTGGGAGGTGCCGGTGCCCCTGCCCCTGTCCCATCTCCACCACCTGCACGTTTTAAGATCCTCTGCGGCCACCAGACCCTGCCAGCCCCGGGGCCGGCGGGACCCTGCGCCCCTCAAGACGCTCCTCTTTATTTTAGTGCCCCTCTCAGCTGAGGAGGAACCGAGAGCGGCGCTGGGGCACCTGAGCCCAGGAAGGCAAGCAGGCCGGCCGGGACCGCGAGTGCCTGGCGGAGCAGGCGCAGCCCAGGACTCCCGGCTCCCACCTCCGGCTGTAGGTGCGGCCCCATTCCCTCCACAGCCCTGTGCCGGGCTTTGTGTGCTCAGGGCTTGGCCAGCTGGGGCCGCCTATCCCTGCCCTAGGCCCTGCTGGCCTGGATGGGCCCAGGGACCTGCTAGATGTTGCGTGCGGCACTGCGGGAGCCATCTCATTTGGCATCTCCCCTTGTCTGGGGCTGGTGGGGAGTGAGTGAGGGTTATAGTCACTCTCCCCACTCAGGGACTGCCTATCCCGGCACCCAGTGCTCATCCCATGGGACCTGGGGGCAGCCAGGGAGAGGGCAGAAGCCCCTCGTTCCCGTCCAGGTCCATCCGTCCACGGAGGGAAACATCATGGAGATGGAGGCGCTTCTGTGGGGCAAGAATGTGGCCTAGAACTGCACCCAGAGTGGGGGTTTTGGGGCAGAGAGACATGGTCATGGACCGGGTCATGGCTCAGGTCAGAATCTGGGCTGCTGATGGGATGCAGGTGGCAGCACGGGCACCTGCAAGACCCTTGGAGGGGCACGGAGTGGGGCCCGACCAGGGGTCTGGGACACTAAGACTGAGGCCCCCACCCTACAGTCACTCACTTCCCTCAGGGCAGAGGGCTGCAGGTGTAAGCTGAGCTGCCGATGACTTGGGGCCTGCAAGAGAGAGGCCTGGGCCACTGGCTGCTGCAGGTGGCTGCTCTCTGGGGTTCAGGAAGTGCTTAGGCTGGCCGGGTCTGGGGACAGTGGGCTGGCCCGGGGCTGCTCCTGAGTTCTGCCAGGCAGCACCGGGCCTGGGACGGGCACCAACCATGTCCGTCTCCTCCCTTCCTGCAGTCCAGGGCCAAGGCTTGTGTTCAATCGTGTGAATGGCCGGCGGGCCCCCTCCACGTCCCCATCCCTCGAGGGGACCCAGGAGACCTACACACTGGCCCACGAGGAGAATGTCCGCTTTGTGTCCGAAGGTAGCGAGCGGGGCCAGAGGGTGCGGCCCAGGCTACTGGGTGCAGTAACATGGACCCGGGATGGCCCCACTTCAAGCTGACCCCCAGCCGCTGCAGGGCTGTGCTTTTCCTTGGCACTCTGCCCTTGTGTCCTGTGACCAGCCCTGTGTGGGGCTGGAGTCCAGGGTGACCATCAGGCCCTGGGTGGGCGATGGGGTGCCTGGGACCTGGCTCAGCCCGACTGCCCTCCTCCCACAGCCTGGCAGCAGGTGCAGCAGCAGCTGGATGGTGGCCCAGCCGGTGAGGGCAGGCCAAGGCCTGTGCAGTACGTGGAGAGGACCCCCAATCCCCGGCTGCAGAGTGAGCCCCCCAACCCTGTTCCCCCAGGAGAAACCCCCCAGTCCCTCTGATCCTGACCCAGGCCCTGCTAGGTTCCCACCCCAGGGGATGAGGGAGGGGACTCTTGTGCAGAAACTTCTTCTTCCCAGCGCCTGCTGCACTCGGAGTCCGGGTGAGTGGCTTGTGGTTAGCTCCAGGGGAGAGACGCTGGCCAGCCTGGGAGGCAGCATCACTGCCCAGCGTTCTCTGCCCACAGACTTCGTGCCCATTGACCTGGACGAGTGGTGGGCACAACAGTTCCTGGCGAGAATCACCAGCTGTTCCTAGTGGCTGCTGGGAGAGGGCGCTGCTGCACAGCCGACCTGTGGCCAGGAGAGAAGCATGATGCCCCACCCACCCACTGCGCCTGGCTGGGTGCCGGCCACACCTGAAGTGCCAGCATTTGGACTTTTGCACCTGTTGTTCCCTTGGCCCGGCTGTCCCAACCAAGCTGCCATGGCCAGGGGCCGAACCCATCTGACCTCAGCCCTGCTCACTGTGCCCAGGGACCAGCGACCGGCCCCTGGGGCTGGTGGGGAGGAGCTCCAGGCTAATAAAGTCGAGAAACTGCCTTTTTGGAGTGTCTTTGACTTGGGAAGGTGTAGGGGAGTCCTCATGTCCAGTTCCAGTCCGCAGCCTGGGACACCTAGGCCCAGCACAAACTCGCCTTGTAGCCCTGTCCCCTCAGGCCCTTGGCTTCTCACCCAGCTGCCCCTCTGACAGGTGGGAGGAACGTTGGCCAGCTCACCTTGCTTGGAAGTCTGTGTACCCCACTTTGCCCCTCCTTCCTCTCCCGTTGGCGTTGACTGGGACCAGAGCCGAGATTCAAGGCCTAAAGACATGAAAAGGTCCTGACCACCTCCCCCCACCACCAGGATTGGGGCTATGTCTCAGAACGCCAGGCCCCATTCTGAATCCGCGGGCCCGGCCGCGGGACACTGAGCGAAGGAGTGCGTGGGGAACCTGCCAGGACGAGCACGGGAACCAGGCACTCCGCGGGCGCCGGCACTACCTTCCCTGATGAGCTGGGGTGACCCAGCCCACCTGAGTCAGGACCCAGGGTACCCAGGTGTGGACCAGGGGCCTCCGGACAGCGAGAGAGCGGCAGGGTGAGGCCCGGCTGTCCGTGGCATGGCCAGGCCTCAGTGCGACCTCGCCTTGCTGCTTGCACGCGGCAGGAGCCCCGGCTGAGGCGCTGACAGGTGGGCAGGGGGGAGGGTCCGCAACCTGCCCGGGCTTCGAAGCCGGTCGGGCTAACACGGGGCTGCCTCGGGAGGCCCGCGGGGCATAGGGCAGCGGGGTCAGCTGCCGGAGCAACCCTGGAGGCTGCCGACGTCAGCCGGGTGCTTACAAGGGGGAAGTCACGTGGCCAGGGTGCCGCCATGACGGCGGAAGTGATGGCGGAAGTAGCACCGTTGTCAGGCAGCCGTTGCCAGGCGCCGCGCTGCATGTCTCGCGCTGGGCGCGCGGACGCTAAGGCGGGAAGCTCGAGCGGCGCCATGGCCCGAGGTAGCGCGCGGCGGGCGCGGGTCCCGGGTTCCGGGGTTCCGGGGTCCAGGGTCGGCGGCCGGGGCGCTCAGGGCCCCCGCCTAGGCCCCGAGGCCAGAGTCCCCGCTCGGGCAGAGTACCGCCTGCCGGGCGCCCACCCTCGGGCTCCCGGAGCTTGGCTTCCCTCGGGCGCCCAGACTCGTCCCGCCCGCCTCGCTGGCGTTGGCGTCGCCGGGGAAGGCGCGGAGAGCCCTGGCCCCACCGGCTCCTGCCTGGTCCCCGAGGCCCGGCCCAGCCCCGCAGTGGCTCCGGCTCGCGGGGCCGGGCCCCCTGACGCCCGCCGCCCGCTCCCCGCAGCGTGGCAGCACCCGTTCCTTAACGTCTTCAGACACTTCCGGGTGGACGAGTGGAAGCGCTCCGCCAAGCAGGGGGACGTGGCCGTGGTGACGGTAGGCGGCCGGGGCTCTCCCGGAGCCCACACCCCTGCCCTGCCCCCGGGAGAACGGCCCCGCCCCCGAGGGGTCCCCTCGCCCCCGCTGCACTTGTCCTGGTTGCCGTCGGTGACGCGGGCTCCCGCTTCTCCAGGACAAGACCCTGAAGGGCGCCGTGTATCGCATTCGGGGCTCAGTCTCTGCCGCCAACTACATCCAGCTGCCTAAGAACAGCACCCAGTCCCTGGGGCTGACCGGGCGGTACCTGTATGTGCTCTTTCGGCCCCTGCCCAACAAGCACTTCGTCATCCACTTGGATGTGTCCACCGAGGTACAGAGCCCGCGGCTGGGGGCTGCATGGGAGCCCCAGCACCCCTGCGGCCCGTCTCCTCAAGGCCCTGCTCTGTCCCCACAGGACAACCAGGTCATCCGTGTGTCTTTCTCCAACCTCTTCAAGGAGTTTAAATCTACGGCCACGCGGCTCCAGTTTCCCTTCGTCCTGGAGGCCAGGACACCCCAGAGAGGTGACACTGAGATGGGGTGTGGATGGTCCAGGACAGGCGGCTGGAGAGAGCTGGTGCAGGCCCAGGGAGGCTCCTCTGTGGCCTGGGGGACAACCTGGCGGGGGCACAAGCTCACAGTTCTGGGAGTCGGGCTGTCAGGATGGTGGGCGCTGACCCTGAGTGCCTGTCCTGCAGATCTGGTGGGTTTGGTCCCCCATGGAGCCCGCTGGACCTTCCTGCAGCTCGACCTGCAGGACATTCTCCTGGTTCACCTGAACCGTCGCTACGGCCATCTCAAGAGTGTCAGGCTGTGCGCCAGCCTGCTGGTCAGGAACCTTTACACCAGCGACCTGTGCTTTGAGCCTGGTGAGGGCCGCACCTGTGCTCCCCACTCCACGTCTCACCCATGCTGTCAGCCCTGGAGAGGCCCGAGTCCAGGGTGCTTCGGAAAGTACAGTACTCAAGCTGTGCTGTTTCTGAGCTCTGGCCAGAACCCCATCCCGGAGGCGCCCAGGGGTGGGGTGGTGGCTGGGCTGGTGGTATGGCGGTGCCTTGGCAGGTGCCCTGTGCTCAGGTGGCCAAACAGCCTCCCTTGACCTGGAACAACCCTGCTCCTTGTAGCCATCTCTGGGGCCCCGTGGGCAAAGCTGCCCGTCACTTCTATGCCTCGGGAAATGGCTTTCCCTGTGCCCAAGGGCGAGAGCTGGCATGACCGCTACGTCCATGTCCGGTGAGTGGTTCTGCTTTTTTCCACGGCGGCCTTGGTGGTGGGAGGGTAGGTGGCCCTTGGGCCCCCAGACGCTGACTGTCCCTCTGCCTGCCAAGGTTTCCAAGCGACAGCTTGAAAGTGCCTTCCAAGCCGATTGAGAAGAGCGGTTCACCTCCTGAGGCAGGTGGGCCTGTGGGGTCAGTGGGGACCCAGGTTAAGGCCTGTAGGGTGCGTGGGGCTTGGTAGGAGAGGGAAGGGCTGGGAAAGGACCTAGTGGTGTGCTGGCTGCAGCTGGTGCAGGGACCCAGGGAAGGCTGTAGGTTGTCCGAGCTCCTAGAACCACATGGGTGCGAGGTCTGTGTGAGGGGTACCTGGGGGCCCCAAGCTTTCTAGCTGGAAGAGGAGGGTTTCAGGGCCTAGGGCGAAAGTGGGATGCTGGCTGTGGGTCCTGCAGAGCCTGTGAGGCTGGGCCACTTGCTGCTGCTTCTCCCCAGGCGTCACGCCTTCACCAGGGGTCTGCATAGCTCACCCCTGGGTCACTGGGGGTCTTTGCTCTGTTGTAGTCCTCCTGGGGCCGGGGCCACGCCCTCTGCCTTGCCCAGTGGCCTGCAGCAAACCTGTGCGATTCAGTGTGTCTCCAGTGGTCCAGACACCCCGCCCCACAGCCGTGAGTATCCCCTTCGTTCTCTGAGATGGGGTTGGGGCGTGACGGCCCAGGGCACTGATGAGCACTTGTCCCCCAACGGTCCAGCCAGGCCCCCTTGGCACCCAGGCCCTTCCCAGAGGTCAGCCTGTCCCAAGAGTGCTCAGAGGCCTCCAACGCGGATGGCCCCGGTTTCCATAGCCTTGAGCCCTGGGCCCGGGTGAAGGCCTCTGACGTCCACACAGCTGCTGCCGGCCCCCACGTGTTGACTCACGAGTCGACTGAGGTGCCTGTGGCCCTGGAGGACGCCGGCTCCTGCAAGGTGAGTGCCCATCCCACAGCAGGCGGGGTCCGGCGATGTGTGGGCCGGGGCAGCTGGTAGCCTGCCACGAGGTGCATTCAGGACGAACGTGTCTCTGACGGTCTCCTCTGATTCAGCCTCCTGAGGCTGGCGGGAGGCAGCTTTGGGGAAGAATCTCTGTCCACAAAGAGTGAGGAAGCCCCAGGTGGTCTGTGGGGGACCCTGGAAGGTCTGGCAGCACAGCCGGAGTCCCAGCTTCCTCCCTAGCACACCGCAGGAGCTTCCCAGGACTAGGGCAGTCTTCTTGAGAGGAAGGACCCAGTTAGGGGTTGGCGGGGCCCAGAGTTGGTCAGGGGCGTTCTGGGGGCCTGGCTGAGCCTTCCAGGGCCTTGATGTGAATGGCTGTTTCAGCGCTTCCTCCCGGACCCTATCCTGAGGCTCAAGGGCGTCATCGGCTTTGGGGGCCACAGCACCAGACAGGTGAGGCTCCTGTGGCTGTGTCCAGAGCAGCTCCTGTTGGCTGCCTTGAGCGCTGATATGGGACAGGGAGAAAGGAGAGACCTATGTCCTGTGGTGGCTGTGTGGGCTCCCGAGCCCCCTCAGCACAGCGGTCCTGTCCCCCTGCAGACTGCGGCTTCCCACGTGCTCAGGCATCTGCCCCGCCCACAGCTGCTGTCACTTCCTGGTACCAGGGGGCTCTCAGGGTCACGGGCATCTCTTACTCACTGGCTGGGCTAAGTGCTCCCCCCGAAGACCCAGAGCTCTCACGTCTTTAGAGCTCTGATGGTCCAGACCAGCAGCGTGGGGCCAGGCTGTGGGCACAACCTGTGGGTCCCTGATGGGTGGCGAGAGCCTTCTAGGAGAGGAGCCCCATGGCAGAGGAGGTGGCCTTCCCCTCTGCCCCAGTGGCCTTGGGCCCTTGTCAGGCCCTGCTGGGTGCCTGCTCTGAGTGTTTGGGGGCCCTTTGGCTTTTTGTTATCCCCACCCCGGAGTTTCTTGCACTGGAGGCGGGGCTTAGAGGACAGGCGTCTGTGCGTGTGTGTACGCGTGCCTGCTTGTGTGTTCCAGCTGTTCTTTTGACATCTGCAGCCTGTGACTCGTGTGTGTAGTGTGTGCAGGGTGTTTTCTCTTGTTCCTGGGTGGCTGTGTGCCCAGGTGTGTGTGCCAGGCCTGCCATCCCCTCTGCCTCGGCTGGAGTGGGAGGTGAAGCTGACCTCCCAGCAGCCAGGAGGGGCCTGGCATAGCACCAGTCCTAAGCTCCCTGCCCCCTTGTGCCAGGCCCTGTGGACCCCAGACGGGACGGCTGTTGTATACCCCTGCCATGCGGTCATCGTCGTCCTGCTCGTGGACACGGGGGAGCAGCGCTTCTTCCTCGGCCACACAGACAAGGTGGGTGCTGCCCGGGCCCAGGGCAACTCACACCTGCAGCCTCTGCACCCTCTCTCACCCTTCTGCCTCCTAGGTGTCCGCCCTGGCGCTGGATGGCAGCGGCTCACTATTGGCCTCGGCCCAGGCAAGGACCCCCAGTGTGATACGGCTCTGGGACTTCCAGACCGGGCGGTGCCTGTGCGTGTTCCAGAGCCCAGTGCATGTCGTCTGCTCCCTCAGGTGGGCAAAGGTCTGCCCCACGCAGGGGGTGGGGGTCAGCCCAGGCGACACTGACCACCTCCCCCCTGTTCACAGCTTCTCTGACAGCGGAGCCCTTCTCTGCGGGGTTGGCAAGGACCGCCACGGGAGGACGGTAACCGGGCCCTGGCCGGGGACTGGGGGCCGGGGGGGCCGTCCTGATGCACGCAGGCAGCTTGAAAGGTCTTGGTTTTCTGAACATCTCGTGTGATCCTGGGTCCCGGCTCTGTGCACTCCGGTGTTCATGCCGCCCACCTGCTCTCTACAGAAAGCACCAGCAGCTCACATTTCTCACGTGTCTTGGTTTATCGGCCATTGGAGTCGGTTTAAGTCAGCATTTACACACCTTGCCTCGTCTTCTCTGCTGGTGATGCAGTTATGAGATTTTCACATGGCAGAGCCCCTGCAGCTACCCACGCTTGGGCATCAGTGGCACGTCCACACAGCCAAAGCGCCTGGTGTCTCGGTGGGGGCACTTTTTTAGAATACTTTTTTTTGAGGGAGGGCCTTGTTCTGTTACTTAGGCTGGGATGCAGTGGTGCAGTCATAGCTCACTGCAGCCTCGACCCCTCCCTGACCTCCCTGCCAGCTGGACTCAGGCCATCTTCCTGCCTTGGCTTCCCAGACAGCTGGGCCACAGGCGTGGGCCACTGCACCTGGCTAGCGTTTTGCTGCTGTAACTTTTTGTAGAGATGGGGTTTCATTACATTGCCCAGGCTGGTCTCAAACTCCAGGGCTCAAGCAGTCCTCCCACCTCAAGCCCCCCAAAGTGCTGGGATCACAGGCATGAGCCACTGTGCCCGGCCACGAGCTGCTTTTTATCTGCCTTCCAGCTTGCGGGTGGGTTTTTACTTCTCTGTGGATGGGATGCAGCACTCAGCATTGTGGGTCTCTGTAGTCGTCCCAAAGCTGCCCCATGTCAGGGCAAGAAGATGGAGGGGCTGGTTTCCTTCCACCCTACGCAGCCGCACGCTCAGAGGCTGGTCTCTGCGTGAGAGAAAAGCCACGTCCAGGTGGGGCTCAGCTGGGCCTGGCAGAATCAAGGCGGCACTGACTGGCCCTGCTGTGCGGGCTCAGCCTGGGCTTGTTGCAGATGGTGGTGGCCTGGGGCACCGGCCAGGTGGGCCTCGGTGGTGAGGTGGTTGTTCTGGCAAAGGCGCACACTGATTTTGACGTCCAGGCCTTCCGGGTCACCTTTTTTGATGAAACCAGGTGATGCAGCTGCCCATCCACGATGCTGGGAGAGGGTCTGGGCCCGGAGTGGGGACTGGGGCCCGGAGTGGGGACTGCGGCCCGAGCACTTCCCCCTGGCTCGGGGACCGTCGTTCCCAGCCTTGGTTGTGCATCACGTCTCCTGGCGGGTCAGGGCACTGCGGGCTGCTGCGGTGCTCAGTTCTCATTCCTCGCAGGATGGCGTCGTGTGGGCAGGGCAGCGTGCGGCTCTGGCGGCTCCGTGGCGGGGCACTGCGTTCCTGCCCCGTAGACCTGGGGGAGCACCACGTGCTGCAGTTCACCGACCTCGCCTTTAAGCAGGCCCAGGACGGCTGCCCGAAGCCCTCGGCTGCCATGCTGTAAGCCCCTGCCCTTCCCCTCAGCCTGCCCCAGCGTGGGGGCCCTGGTGCCTGGTACCCTGAGGGCCTTACCTCCCCTCTTGCCTTCTTGGGCAGCTTCGTGTGCAGCCGCAGCGGCCACATCTTGGAGATCGACTGTCAGTGCATGGTCGTGCGGCATGCCCGCCGCCTGCTCCCCACACAGACTCCGGGCGGCCCCCACCCGCAGAAGCAGACCTTCAGCACAGGTGAGAGGGCTCCTGCCATGTGGCGAGGGTGGCAGGGACACTGAGGTACTGACGCCCCCCGCCCCCAGGGCCCGGCATTGCCATCAGCAGCCTCAGCCTCTCCCCGGCCATGTGTGCTGTGGGTTCTGCGGACGGCTACTTGCGGCTCTGGCCCCTGGACTTTTCCTCGGTGCTCCTGGAGGCAGGTGAGGTTGTAGGCACGCTCCTCCAACTCAGGAGAGCCTCGCCTGGATGCTGGGGCAGGGAAGGGCAAGTCCCTGGGGCTCTGCTGTCAGCCGCCCTGGCTCCTGGCTGCACAGGGAGCCACGGGGCCAAGCGACGTGTCCTGAGCCCTGGGGCGGCTGATGCCAGGGCGGCCCACAGGGCAGCCTCACGGAAGGGCTTGGTGGGCCATGGGTAGTGGGCGAAGCCCCTCAGCCTGGGTCCTGCCTAGCCTCGGAGTGGTGGTCTCAAGGGAGCTGCATCTTGCAGCCATGTGGAGCCCGGGACTCTGAGCAGCAGGGAGTGCACTTGCTGAGGTCTTGGGAACCTGAAGCCTGAGCAGTGGCTGCCCAGGGTTGGCTCTGGCATACCACTCACCCTGGGGTGGTCCTGGGAGGTCCCTGACCCCGCCCCACCCACAGAGCACGAGGGCCCCGTCAGCTCAGTCTGTGTCAGCCCCGACGGCCTCCGTGTGCTGTCCGCCACCTCCTCGGGCCACCTGGGCTTCCTGGACACGCCGTCCCGGGTATACCACATGCTGGCTCGCTCCCACACCGCCCCAGTGCTGGCCCTCGCCACGGAGCAGAGGCGGGGACAGCTGGCCACCGTGTCCCAGGACCGCACTGTCCGCATCTGGGACCTGGCCACCCTGCAGCAGGTGCGGTTGGCAGGGGCAGCGCGGCAGGGAAGGCCAGGAGGTCGTGAAGCAGGGGTTTGTCAGCAGGGGTGAGGGGGGCCTATAGGGACCTGGTCTTTCCAGGCTGTGTCGGCCCGGTGGGTTTGGGCCTCCTGGAGAACCTCTGGGCCCTTGTGATCCCTGCCCTCCCCTCAGCACGGCCCCCGTCTCACAGCTGTACGACTTCACATCATTAGAGGAGGCCCCGTGCACCGTCACCTTCCACCCCACAAGGCCAATCTTTTTCTGCGGCTTTAGCAGTGGGGCTGTGCGCTCCTTCAGCCTGGAGGCCGCTGAGGTCCTGGTGGAACACACGTAAGTGCCCAGCCAGCCACCAGCCCCACGGAGACCCCGCGGTGGAAGCTGGGGTGGCCAGCCGGGGGTCATGTGCAGGATGGCCAGCGCTGGCCGGAGCCCCACCCTTTGCTGCCCCACGGGGACTTCTGTGGCCAGGCTGGTTGGCTGGAGGTCGAGGGACCCTGTGGTTCTTGGGGCTTCACGTCCTAGCTGGGCTTTGGGGCTGGCGCCAGCGGGGTCCCTGTGTGTACTGCAGGTGCCACCAAGGAGCCATCACCGGCCTGACCGCCACCCCTGATGGCCGCCTGCTCTTCAGCTCCTGCTCCCGGGGCTCCCTGGCCCAGTACAACTGTGCAGACCCCCAGTGGCACGTCCTCCGAGTGGCAGGTTGGGCCCCCCGCAGCCGCTCCAGGGGACTCCTCCAGGCGGGAGAGGCCTGGGTCTGGTGCAGGCCAACACCTCGACACACGTGCCGGTTTCCTGGTCCACTGGCTGGGTCCTGTGGGGCGGCGCGGCTGCCTCAGTCACCTTGTCAAGGCCCTAAGATTGTGGTTTAGCATTCCCCGGCCCCCAAGGCCAGAGGTCAGCCCAGGTCTGTGCCCAGGAGGAGGCAGGCAGCCCAAGCTCCAGGTCAGCAGCTGGGGTCAGACCCAGCCACGGGCACCTGACCTGTCCTGCGGCCACCATAACTTGGGCCACCTGAGTGGTCACTTGTGACCACTGCTAGCCCACAGGGATTCCCAGCTCCCCTGGCAGCGCCTGGCACCCACTGGCACCTTGGCATTCCTCTGCCACTGTGACGCATCTGCGCTCCTGGGCTGGTGTTTCCCGAAAGTGGGGGCAGGGGCAGCGGCCTCCTTGGGCCCTGGCCACGTGTACCCCGGCGCTCCCTCCCCCCAAGCTGACCCCTGCCCCGCCCCATGTGGCCACAGCGGACATGGTATGGCCGGATGCCCCTGCGACCCCCAGCACTCTGGCAGTCAGCAGGGATGGCCGCCTGCTGGCCTTCGTGGGACCCTCCAGGCACACAGTGACAGTCATGGGCTCGGCCTCCCTGGACGAGGTGAGTCTGCAGCCCTCCTGAGTCCAGGGAGACTGGGCCATGAAAGGCTGGCTGCAGGGGCAGGAGGGAGGTCACGGCCACTCGAGCAGGACCTAGGCCCTGTCCCGCCTCCTGTCACAGCACACATCAGCCATGTGGGGTCCAGGTGCAGCCAGGTTCCTGTACAGGGCAGGTGCTGCCTGGGTGCCGAGTGAGTGTCCCCGGAGCTTCCCTCCCAAGCCTGGCCCTGGGTGGCACCAGCTCTGCCTGGGGACCTGATTGTCGGCCACTTGCCGCTACCCCAGCTGCTGCGAGTCGACATCGGCACTCTGGACCTGGCCAGCGGCCGCCTGGACTCAGCCATGGCTGTGTGCTTTGGCCCTGCAGCCCTGGGCCACCTGCTGGTGTCCACCTCGTCCAACAGAGTCGTGGTGCTGGATGCTGCGTCAGGCCGCATCATCCGGGAGGTGAGCCTCAGGGCTGCAGCCCGCCGACCTGGCCCTCCCTGTGTGGTCCAGGCCCGGCCTCTGTGCCTGCAGCCCCTCCAGCTGGTTGGGGGGCCATCGCCACACCCGCAACGAAGGGAGGCCCCAGGCTGCCAGCCACTTTCCTGAGACATAGCATTTCCCAAGAGCACTGTGTTCCAGCTGCCCGGTGTCCACCCTGAGCCCTGCTCCTCCTTGATGCTCAGTGAGGATACCCGCTTCCTGCTGATGGCCGCTGGCCGGGCGGTCAAGGTGTGGGACTACAGGACACAGGCCAGCCCAGGCCCCCAGGTGTGTGCGTGGGGAGGCAGGTGGCTTTGGCCATCAGGAAAACCTCAGGTGGCCCGGGAGACCCCTGCAGGTGTGCGTGGGGGCAGGGAGAGCAGAAGGTGAGAGGTAAGAGTGACCCCCCAAGGACCCCCTGTGCCTCCCGGGTCTCACGCTGTGTGGGGCTCACCGCCCCCGGGGGCTGGGCACACGGCAGCATCCATGCCCTGCCTCAGGGTCCCTGTGTGTGATGCCGCTACCTCCAGGTGTACATCGGCCACTCGGAGCCTGTGCAGGCTGTGACCTTCTCTCCTGACCAGCAGCAGGTCCTCAGCGCAGGGGATGCCGTCTTTCTCTGGGATATTCTGGCCACTACTGAGAGGCAAGTGCCTACTCTCAGCTGTGTCTGCTTAGGCCCCCCAGACCCTCCTGAAACCCACTCTCCTCCCTCTCTAGCAACCAAAGCTTCCCTGGGCCCTCCCCAGCCTGCGAGGCAGGTGAGTGGCTGTGCTCAGCAGGGGGGCAGGCGCTGCGCTGAGTCTGGGGCTGGTCCTGTGTCTGCCCAGCGGCCCTTCCTCTTCCTCCCCAAACATCACAGGGCTCTTTATTCCCCAGGCCTGGGCACAGGACAGCTAGAGGATGCTGCGTCCAGGGCCAGCGAGCTCCCCCGGCAGCAGGTCCCCAAGCCATCTCAGGCATCTCCACCACGGCAAGGCATTTGTGCCAGGCCTCCCGAAGGTGGCGATGGTGAGCAGCAGGGGTCCTGGGGGAGTGGGGGGATTCGGGTCTGAGGACACAGGCCCAGTGGCAGCAGGTACTCATGCACGTCCAGCTCTGGGGTGCAGGTACCATCACTGCTCATCAGGTGGGACACAGTGGGGACAGGGGACGTGGGCAGCTTTTCCTCTCTTCATTGGGCCCAGGCACCTTCACCACGTCGGATGAGGAAGGACCCTGTGAGGAGAGCCGTGACCCCGAGGGGTCACTGCTCACGGAGAAGGAGGCCGGCAGGGCTGGAGACGGGGCCTGGGCTGCGGCAGTGGGCTCCTGGGGGCTTGCCCTATCTCCCCGTTCCCCCAGCCAACCCTGTGAGCAGTGGAGGGCAGGGCAGGGACGCTGGTGCCGGTGCAGGGACCTGAGGGCGGTTGGTGAGTCCACCGTGTGAAGAGGCGAGGTCACCTGCCTGTACCTGTGGCCCCGGCCTCCGCCCCGCTGTGCATTCTCACTGTGTGGTAGACCAGGGCCTTGCGGGGAGACTCTGCGTGTAGTGTGTGGGGTCTCTGAAGAGCTGCAGAGCAGTGTGATGCCACAGGCTCTGCCTCCTCCCTGCCAGGCACCAGCGACACCAAGAATTCGGGGGCCCCATGCACCACCTGCCCGACTTCCCACAAGGCCTTCACACCTGCCAGGGCCAGCCGCGGCCCCCACTCTGCCAAGGTAGGGAGTGGTTTCTGGGAGCCCTCTTTTTCCCCAGCAAGCACAGAGGCCCCCCCAGGGCTCCCCAGCACCTCCTCAGGGTTGTTTTTGGTCTCCAAAGGTGATGCTCTGGCCTTCGGGCACCTGTCTCCTGAAGGCACCTTCATCCCGCACCCCCGCCCCTGCCCTCCGCCGGCCTCCAGACGGGACCCTGTGGTGGCCTCCTGCTGACCCGCCTTCCCCTCTCATCCAGCAGGTGCCCTTGAGAGCCCCACGGGCCTGTGTCCCTCCTGGCCCCGGCACACCGAGTGCCCACACCTCCCACCCCTGCTTCCCCATCTATGCCCCTGGGTGCCCTCTGCAGCTGGCCTGGGTATGCCCCAAAGCAGCCTCCCATGTGCAGGCTTTGGGGCCCAGGTGGCCATGCTGGGCCCCAGCAGCATCCAGGTCTCCTTCCTTGCAGGGCACTTCCCTGCCTCCCGCCAGCAGTGAGTGGCTGCGTCTGAAGGCTGTCGTTGGCTACAGCGGGAATGGGCGGGCCAACATGGTCTGGAGACCGGACACAGGTGGGGGCCCAGAGCTTACCCCCACCCCCAGTCCAGCTGTCTCGACCCCAAGGCCAGGCCCTGGCGGCATATGAGCGCCAGCCATCAATGTGGGGCTCTGTTCTCCCGGTAGCGCCTCCTGGCGCTCCAGCCCAGGTCCTGGGAAGCACTTTGGCTGCCGGGCGGTGGGGAGGGCGCGCCTGTGCCCGGGATGATGCTAACCCCTTGGCCCCGCCCCGCGGCTTGGCCAGGCCCCGCCCCTGCGCGGCCCCGTCCCCAGGCCCCGCCCTCTCTCCGCACAGGCTTCTTTGCCTACACTTGCGGCCGCCTGGTGGTGGTGGAAGACCTGCACTCTGGCGCCCAGCAGCACTGGCCCGGCCACCCTGCGGAGATCTCCACGCTGGCCCTCAGCCACAGTGCCCAGGTGCCCGCCTACGTTGCCCTCCTCCTCACCCAGGACCACTGTGCCTGGCAGAACCCAGCTCCCGGACCAGTGCGGGCTCTCACCACCACAGACGGAGCCGATGGCCACCCCAGGCTCCACTCCAGCCGGAGCTGGCAGAGCTGAGGTGGGGCCAGCCGGCCGCGGCCTCCCCACTCACTGCATGTCCTCTCACCTGCCAGGTCTTGGCCTCTGCCTCGGGCCGCAGCAGCACGACTGACCATTGTCAGATCCGCGTCTGGGATGTGTCTGGTGGCCTCTGCCAGCATCTCATTTCCCACCATAGCACCACTGTGCTGGCCCTGGCCTTCTCACCAGATGACAGGCTTCTCGTCACATTGGGTCAGTGGTGGGGGGGTCGGAGGCCACAGGCTTCCCTAGACCCTGGCGGGGGGGCTGCACCTGTGCACCTGACGCGGCTGCTGTGTGTCCTTCCCAGGGGACCACGATGGCCGTACCCTCGCCCTGTGGGACACGGCCACCTATGACCTTGTGTCCTCCACCCGCCTCCCGGAGCCGGTGCATGGCGTGGCCTTCAACCCCTGGGACGCCGGCGAGCTCACCTGTGTGGGCCAGGGCACTGTCACCTTCTGGCTCCTGCAGCAATGTGGGGCAGACATCAGCCTTCAGGTGCCAGGTCGCCTGCTTGGTGTTTGGGCCCAGGGGTCGTTTTGTGGGGTGGAATCTGACTGGGCCCCGGGACACCACTGACCCATGGCTACTCGTACTCTGCCAGGTGCATCGAGAGCAGGTCCCAGAGACAGTGGGGGCTGGAGAGCTGACCTCACTGTGCTATGGGGCACCCCCCCTGCTTTATTGTGGCACCAGCTCCGGCCAGGTCTGTGTCTGGGACACGTGTGCTGGCCACTGCTTCCTGTCCTGGGAGGCAGACGATGGTGGCATTGGTGAGTGCCCTGCAGAAGCCCTGTGGCCCTCAGGACCCCTACCTGGGATCCTCAGAACTGGGGCAGAGGCCTCATCTCCAGCCCTGGCGTCCGGGCAGCCTTGTGACCCAGGGCCTCTGGGAGGGCGGCCGTGGCCCCTTATGGCTCCTCCTGCTCCCAGGGCTGTTGCTGTGTTCGAGCTCTCGATTGGTCAGCGGTAGCAGCACAGGGCGGCTTCGCCTGTGGGCTGTGGGGCCTGTGTCGGAGCTGAGGTGCAAGGGCTCGGGTGCCAGGTGAGCCGTTCACCCCCGTGTGTTTCAGCTGCAGGCGGGTGTTGGTGTCCCTGACCGGGGCTTGCAGCCAGTGCCCCCCGCTAGACTGCCCTGCAGACCAGCCGTCTGCTAGCCCCTCCAAGGGACAGGCTTGGGTGTGGCCTGGGCCTCGCTGGCTGCCATCGAGGACGGGACGGGCCCAGAAGCCCCAGTTCCATGGGCTTTCTCTTCTCCGCCGGGAGGGCACAGCCAGGCCCCAAGACGCAATGCTGAAGGCCCTGCCTCAGCTGGGGACCCCGCTGGCTCTTGTCAGCCTTGAGACCCGCTGTTCTCTCCTCTCTCCTCCTCCCCTGCACCCTCAGGTCCAGTTCTGTGTTCATGGAACGCGAGCTGGTGCTGGACGGGGCTGTGGTGAGCGCCAGCTTCGATGACAGCGTGGACATGGGCGTCGTGGGCACCAGAACGGGCACGCTCTGGTTCATCAGCTGGGCCGAGGGCACTAGCACACGTCTCATCAGTGGCCAGAGGAGCAAGGTGAGGGACTTCCAGCCTGGACAGAGGCAGGGCAGCCGAACCTGGCGCCCTCCTGCCTGCTGGCCCCATCTCCGCCAGCCCAGATTATTCCAAGTCCTGCGGTCAGTGGCTCACAGCGGCCGCCTTGGGGTTCACAGGAGGAAGGTCCCTCAGTGCCATCCCGGTTGTGTCTGCACCAGGGAGCTGCCTGGCAGGCCTTGCAGGTGTTCTCAAACCGTCCTTTCCATGCTATTGCTTTGCGTTGTTTTGTTTTGTTTTGTTTTTTAATTGTCAAACCACATTAATCCGGGTGTGGGGGCTCACGCCCATAATCCCAGCACTTTGGGAGGCCGAGGCAGGCAGATCACCTGAGGTCAGGAGTTTGAGACCAGCCTGGCCAACATGGCGAAACTCTGTCTCTACTAAAAATACAAAAATTAGCTGGGCCTCCTGATGTATACCTGTAATCCCAGTTACTCTGGAAGCTGAGGCAAGAGAATCACTTGAACCCAGTGGGCAGAGGTTGCAGTGAGCCAAGATTGCACCACTGCACTCCAGCCTGGGCGACAGAGCAAGACTCCATCTCAAAGGGAAGAAAAAGATTAAAAACCCCACATCGTCTGTCCCCGCACCTCCCATAGACTGGCTTTGCTGACTCAGTCTCATGGGCTCAAGAGGTCAGGAGGCCGGGCGGCTACTGGGTCAAGTTCTGCTCTCTCTGGGTCAGATCTGGTCAGGTTCTGGTCGGTGTTGGGTCCAGTTCTGTAAGGCCCAGCTCTGTCCTGCAGCCTCCTTGTGCTGGAGCCATGTCTCCAAGAAGCACACAGCACTCACCTCTCTGGGACCACCTGGCCTGGAAGCTCCGTGGCCTCATGGGGTTGGGGCAGCCACCATGTTGCCCCCTCACCCGCCAGCTGCAGCCTTAGGAGAGGTGGCCTCCTGGGCTGAATTGGGGCAGCAGGACAGGTGCCAGTCCTTCCCTGCTGGACCAGGTTTCTGGTGTGGTGTTGGTCCAGCAGCTGCGGCCACGGGCTTCCTCCTGTGGGTCTAAGAGCTCTGCGTGTGGTCAGCTGGTCCCCATGGGGATTGATTGTTCCTTGATGCCGAGTCCCATCTTCCAGTTGTCCCTCGCTTCTTTCTTTAGACACCTGTCTTTAGTATTTGAAGATGACGATAGCCAGCAGAGGAAGTTGAGTGTGAGACGGGTGAGGGTTGTTTACCTTTCTGGCAGCAGGTTTGTTGAGGTATGGTTATCATAGCATGAGCTCTGTGCACTTCAGTAGGTGAGTTTCAGCATATTCAGCAGCTGTGGAACCAGAGGAAACCTTGTTTGTGCCTGTTCCTCGGTCACTCTCCGTTTCCTGCCTCCCCAGCCCCTGGCAACCACTGAGTGGCTTTCTGTGTCTAGATTTTCCCGTTCAGGATATTCTGTAGGAACTGGCTCACCTGGCTTCTCTCCCCGAGTGTGGTTTCCAGGGTCATCCCGGCCGCTGTGTGTGCCAAGCCAGTCATTACTCTTTACGGCCAAATACTGTTCCATTGTATGGGTAGATCATGCGTGTGTCCACCCACCAGGGCCGGGAAATTCAGGTCCTGAGTCCGTGACCTGAGCTTGTGGTCACTGGTGGCCTCCCTGTGATGTGGAAGTGTAAGGAATTCCGGGCCCCGCCTGTATGGTTCTGCCCGCGCCCAGACTTCATTTCCTTGCAGGGCCCAGGGCCCAGGGCCCCTCCTGGGGAGACAGACTGAGACGTCCTGGTCTGAGTCCCTGCAGTCCCTCATCGCTCAGCTGAACTGATTTTGTTTGCTTGTTTGAGATGGAGTTGCTTGTCACCCAGGCTGGAGTGCAGTGGCCGGATCTCGGCTCACTGCAAGCTCCGCCTCCTGGGTTCACACCATTCTCCTGCCTCAGCCTCCTGAGTAGCTGCGACTACAGGCGCCCGCCACCTCGTCTGGCTAGTTTTTTTTTGTATTTTTTAGTAGAGATGGGGTTTCACCGTGTTATCCAGGATGGTCTCAGTCTCCTGAGCTCGTGATCCGCCCGTCTCGGCTTCCCAAAGTGCTGGGATCACAGGCGTGAGCCACCGCGCCCGGCTGAACTGATTTTCTTAATGAAGTGCATCGTGTTCTCACTTGCACGTAAAGTCCACATTTGGTGCCTGCTGCGTGGCTTCCTTTCATAGTGAGTGGCACCTGTGTCTTTCTGCCAGTCCAGCAGTCCCAGCTGTCAGTGGCACCCACATAATAACACGTCTGCCTTTCCCCCCGATTGGCACGCAGCAGTTTTGGGAGGAGAAACGCGACTACGTGGCGTACTCACTGCAACCAGCAGCGTCTGTGCTTTTTTTTTTTTTTTGAGATGGAGTCTTGCTGTGTGCCCCAGGCTGGAGTGCAGTGGCGCAATCTCGGCTCACTGCAAGCTCCGCCCCCCGGGTTCACGCCGTTCTCCTGCCTCAGCCTCCCGAGTAGCTGGGACTACAGGCACCCACACCATGCCCGGCTAGTTTTTTGTTTTTTTTAAGTAGAGACGGGGTTTCACGGTGTTAGCCAGGATGGTCTCGATCTCCTGACCTTGTGATCCACCCGCCTCGGCCTCCCAAAGTGCTGGGATTACAGGCTTGAGCCACCGCTCCTGGCGCGTCTGTGCTTTCGACCTCGTTCTGCAGCCTGCTAGGGACACACGGCCACACTGCTGTGTTTGAGGTGCCGTCAAAACAGCTTTCTCCTCAGTATCCCACCGAGTTTGACTGGCTAGTAGGCTTGCTTTGGTTTGGACTCACCCAGATCTAGCGCAGGGACGCACACGGGAGGCCGGAACTGCTCCTTTTCGCCATGTGGAGTTGGCCGGGGCCAGAGGCACATGCTCTGGTTTGGACAGCCCGGCCCTGGGGGCTGGAATAGGAAATGCCTGTGTCCCTTTCCCCTGCCAAGCGGCCAACACTCCCAGCCTAGCTACGGCTTCCCTCAGGTGAACGAGGTGGTCTTCGGCCCCGGGGAGTCCCACTGTGCCACGTGCGGTGAGGACGGGAGTGTGCGGGTGTGGGCCTTGGCCAGCATGGAGCTTGTGATCCAGTTCCAGGTGCTGAACCAGGTGTGTGGGGAGTGCCCAGGCTGGGGATGGGGTGAGGGCCTGCTCGCAGGGGACCTGGCGTGGGTGGGGCAGCTGTATCCTCCCTGTGGCCTGAGTGTGTGTCCCCAGGACCCCTGTGAGTGCTGAAGTTTCCCCACTGTGGGTCCCCAGAGCTGCCTCTGCCTCGCATGGAGCCCCCGGTGCTGTGGCCGCCCTGAGCAGCAGCGGCTGGCGGCAGGCTATGGCGACGGCTCCCTGCGCATCTTCAGCGTCTCCCGCACGGCCATGGAGCTCAAGATGCGTCCCCACCCGGTGGCGCTGACCACTGTCACCTTCTCCACCGATGGTGAGGAGTTGGCTGTGTGGGGGATGGTGCCGTCCTCACCTGGCTCAGGTCCAGTCTCTGGGCTGGGGGCTCACGGGGTGACGGTGTGGTCCCAGGTCAGACTGTCCTCTCTGGAGACAAGGATGGGCTCGTGGCTGTGAGCCACTCCCGCACAGGGATGACCTTCCGTGTGCTGAGTGACCACCAGGGCGCCCCGATCTCTACCATCTGTGTCACACGCAAAGAGGTAAAGCAGCCCCAAGAGCCAGGGAGCAGGGGCCGGGGTGCTGGGGGGGGCAGGCACCATCTTGGCAGAAGGCACATATCGGCCTTCACCCACTCCATTCCCAGTGTGAAGACTTAGGGGTGGAGGGCACAGACCTATGGCTGGCTGCCAGTGGGGACCAGCGGGTCAGCGTCTGGGCCTCCGACTGGCTGCGGAACCGCTGTGAGCTCGTGGACTGGTTGAGTTTCCCAATGCCTGCCACCACGGAGGTAAAGCATGCTCCTGGCACTGTGGGTAGGGCTGGCGCCCGTCCACCCCACCACAGCATGCTGTGCCTTTGCAGACTCAGGGCCACCTGCCGCCCTCCCTCGCTGCCTTCTGCCCCTGGGATGGGGCGCTGCTGATGTATGTGGGCCCTGGCGTTGATAAGGAGGTGATCATCTACGACCTCTCCCAGAAGCAGGTACATGCACTGCTGCTTGTCACCGGAGCCCCAGGGATCCAGCGTGGTGGGTGGGACCTGGCTGAGCCCTGAGCCCACAGGCCTGGAGCCTCACGCTGGCTGCCCACAGGTGGTGGAGAAGATACCACTGCCCTTTTTTGCCATGTCCCTGAGCCTGTCCCCGGGGACCCGCCTCCTGGCTCTTGGCTTTGCTGGTGAGTACTGGTGGATGTAGTTTGGGCCCATCTTAGGTGGGGGCCATGTAGGCTGACCGGTGCCCTGCTCCAAGACAGGTGCCTCACCTGTGCCCGGGCTCCTCGTCTCTGGGGTGGGGTGAGGATACCTGTCCTAGAGAGGGTCCCGGGGTCAGGAGATGATGAGGCCGGTGAGGAACCAGGTACAACGCCCAGCACAGGGCCTGAATGCAGGGTGGCAGCAACTTTTAAGGAGGAACCCGGCCCAGCTGCGGGCCGACAGCCTGGCAGTGATGGGCCCCCTAGTCCCAGTGGCACGTGGAGGGCACAGCCAGGAGCCTTTGTAGCACCGGCTCCCCCGACCAGCATCACGCCCAGTGGGGACAGTCCGGGTGGGTTGGGGGAGCCCTCTGCGTGCTGCCTGGCCCTGACCCTGGCCCACCTGCGCCATCTGCCCACAGAGTGCATGCTGAGGCTGGTAGACTATGCCACGGGGACTGCGCAGGACTTTGCTGGCCACAACAATGCAGTGCACCTGTGCAGGTTTACACCGTCTGCCAGGCTGCTCTTCACGGCCGCCTGCAACGAGATCCTGGTGTGGGAGGTCTCCGGCCGCTGAGATGCAGCAGGGACTATGGTGCTGCGTGTCACGGCTGGTACCTGGACACACGCTTGGCAGAGAAGCCAGGTGGTCAGTGGCCTCATGCTGGGACAGGCCAGGATTCATGTAAATCGTCTGGACAAAGCTGTCGTGAATTTGGCCATCTGAAAATACTTTAATCTGTTGCCCTTTTGCCTAAGCAATTTTTAATATTTCTATCTTGTAATAAACATGGGCATTTATTGCATTATTGCTGCATTGTTGCACCGGCTGTCTCTGGTCACTGCTGGCCTGAGCTCAGCCTCTGCCTGTCCCTTAATCGGCTGTTTGTCAAGGCTCCTGTAGTGCCCTGAAGCAATGACCGGTCGGCCTGCCAGGGTTGGCCTGGCGCCGGGAGCCTGCGCTGCCTGCAGTGCCCGGCGCGTCCACGTAGTGGCGCCGCCGCACATCCTGGCCGCTCTGGCCCGTCCGGCTCGCTTGTGCGGCTGTGCTGGCGGGGCCGGAAGTATGGGGCCAGCGCGGGGCCGAGTACCGGAAGTGCGGGGCGGGCGCGGGGGCAGAGCGAAAGCCTGAGGACCGGGTTGGGGCCGGGTTCCGGGGCCAGGAGCGGATCGGGGCGACAGCCATGAGGCGGGACGTGCGCATCCTGTTACTGGGCGAGGGTAGGCGCCGGGCCGGGGTCTCGGAGCTGCGGCGGCCGGGGCGCGAGGTGAGGGTCTCGGGGGTCGGGGGGCGCCTTGACCTTGGTCCCCGCGCTGACCGCCCCGCCCCGCGCAGCCCAGGTGGGGAAGACGTCGCTGATCCTGTCCCTGGTGGGCGAGGAGTTCCCCGAGGAGGTGAGGGGCGCGCCCGCCGCGGGGGTGGGAGCGGGCCCAGCCGGGGGTCCCTGGTGAGCTCGCGGGTCCCTTGCAGGTCCCTCCCCGCGCGGAGGAGATCACGATCCCCGCGGACGTCACCCCGGAGAAGGTGCCCACTCACATCGTGGACTACTCAGGTAGCGGCCGTAGCCTCCCGGGGGCCCGGCCCGGAGCGGTCCGGCGGGCCTGCTGGGTCTGCAGTGGGGTCTCTTCCTCCCCCTAGAAGCCGAGCAGACGGACGAGGAGCTGCGGGAGGAGATCCACAAGGTACCCGTGGTGCGCGGGACGAGGGCGGGGCTGGGCGCGGGCTCGGCCTAATCCGCTTCGCCGGCCGGGGGATTGGACTGAGGTGCTCAGAGTGTCCTTGGCCCTGATCGCTCTGTGACCTCCGCACTGAGGGTTGTTGGGGCCCCCACAGCGCACCCCGCTGGGAGCCGGCACCGCTCAGTCCAGCGGTGCTCCAGGGATAACAGGGCCCTTCCCCGCGGGCTGTCCCTCCCTCCTGCCCAGGTGGCAGCAGCGTTTGCTCTTTCTGTGGGCTCTGTGTGCGCCACCTGCCCCTGCTGTGTACTCCAGCCCACCGCCCCGGCCTCCGGGCACCCGGAGCTCCTAGTACCAGAGCACGTGTGCCGGGGACATCCCAGGCGAGCGCGCAGGCCACAGCCACCCAGGCCAGCCACCTGGCAGCCCCTACTGCCAGCGCCCCTCACTGCGGTCCTGTCAGTCTGCAGCGAGAGGACAGGCAGGGGCCAAACAGCGGCTGTCTTGCATGGTGTAGTGTTGCAGGTGTGGCCTTGTCTGTCCTGAGCCGTCTGCTGTAAGGGTCTTGCCAGCCACAGCTATGCTGCTGGGGCCTGGTGTCCCTGCACTGGCAGTGGGTGGGGAAGAGGCTTCTCTGAGGGTTCAGCAGCAGCTGCCAGTGTGACACGCGGGAGTGCCTGCTCTGCCAACGCCAGGCTGGAGGCAGGTTTTGGGGAAGGCTGGGCTTTCCCGGCCTCAGCTGCAGTCATGCTACCTGTGAGCGTCTGGGGCCTCCTGGAGCCTTGAGATGGCATGGAGTGGCCAGGATCGTCAGTGGTGAGCCAACAGCCCTGTCAGCCACGCCTCGTCACTGTTCCCTCAGGCAAACGTGGTGTGCGTGGTGTACGACGTCTCTGAGGAGGCCACCATTGAGAAGGTGAGCCCTCAGTGCAGACCCCAATGGCAGAGACACAGTGGCCCCTGGTGGATCCTCAACCCGTGGCCAGTGCCATCTCTCACAGCATTTTGGGGAGCACAGGCTCTCTCCTGTGATCCCACTTCCCCCCAGAGGGTGTGGGACGGCCCCATTCTGAGCCATTTAGGCCAGCAGCTCTCTTTCTTCTCCAGTTTCCAAACCCCAGGGGGAACCTCAGAGGGCCTGCGTCAGAGGCTGCCCTGGGCTCGGGCCCCAGTGATCTTGGGGGTGTTTGGGAGCCACTGGGGTTGTACAGATGAGGCTGCACCTGCTGCCTGCCTTCTCCCACCAGCTTTGTTCCTGTGGCCGGGACTTGGGCCGTCAGTGGGCCTTGACCTCCCGCTTCTGCTCTCTCCGAGCCAGGCTTGAGCTCCAGCTGGGAGCCATGTGCCCACGGGCAGCCTCACCTCACAGCCAGGCTTTGCTTTTCAGATTCGAACTAAGTGGATCCCACTGGTGAATGGGGGGACCACGCGGGGGCCCAGGTAATGAGGGGGATATGGAAGGGGCTGGGACCCCCGGCTTCCCTGCCCCTGGTGACCATGGGCCTTCAACCCAGGGTGCCCATCATCCTAGTGGGCAACAAGTCAGACCTGCGGTCGGGGAGCTCCATGGAGGCCGTGCTCCCCATCATGAGCCAGTTTCCTGAGATTGAGACCTGCGTGGAGGTCAGTGGGTCCCGGCTGAGGGGCTGAGCTAGGGGCAGGGCCTCCTTCATGCCTCGTGTCCTCGGTCGGTTCCCCGGGGCATGCCCCTGAGTCTGTTCCCCCTTTCCCAGTGTTCAGCCAAGAACCTGAGGAACATCTCAGAGCTGTTCTACTATGCCCAGAAGGCTGTCCTGCACCCCACAGCCCCCCTCTATGACCCTGAGGCCAAGCAGGTGAGCATTGGCTGGGGCCCCACACACTGCTTCTCCAGGGGCCTGGGGGGTGCTGGGTTGGGTGGCGTGGCGGGTGGGCACGGGCCGCCTGAGGGTGCTGAGCCAACATCCCCGCAGTTGAGGCCCGCGTGCGCCCAGGCGCTGACACGCATCTTCAGGCTCTCAGATCAGGACCTGGACCAGGCGCTCAGTGACGAGGAGCTCAACGCCTTCCAGGTGTGCCCCCGCCCCACCCTCGGTGCCCAGCCCCCTCGAACCTCCGCTGCTGTTAGTGACCGGAACGGGCCGTCTCCGGGTAACTGGCTGACTCCCAGCAACGTTCTCTCGGAGGCAGAAATCCTGCTTTGGGCACCCCCTGGCCCCGCAGGCCCTGGAGGACGTGAAGACGGTGGTGTGCAGGAACGTGGCGGGCGGCGTGTGGGAGGACCGGCTGACCCTGGATGGTGAGGCCGGGTGCCCACCTGTGCCTGGGGAGTGTGGGGAGGGTGCTGTGCCTGGTGCTCCCCCTGCTCTGTCTCGGTGCAGGTTTCCTCTTCCTGAACACGCTCTTCATCCAGCGTGGCCGGCACGAGACCACATGGACCATCCTGCGGAGCTTCGGCTACAGCGACACACTGGAGCTGACGGCCGACTATCTCTTCCCTCCGTGAGTGGCGCTGGGGTCGAGGCCTACCCTTCCTGAGCGGAGGTCTCACTCAGCAGGCCGTCTGGCGTAGTGCCCTGCCTGGCTGTGCCCTGAACCCCTCAGCATCCACAGAGCTCTTTGTCAGGTGGGGGCCGGCCCCTTGCCAATCCCACATGCGTGACTTGCTCACCCTGCTGGGGTCAGCAGCTTGGGCTGTGGCCTGGGGGCCTCAGCCAGGCCTCCCACGTGCTGGAGTCAGATAGGCACCCTCCTCCCCATCGCAGCTGCAGGGTTGGGGGCGTCCAGGAGCCTCTGGGTCCTATAGGGAGGGTCCGACTGCACAGACGGGGCCGGCAGGGTGACAGAGGTGCCGAGCGTGGTGGCGCAGAGTCTCCTGGGAACCGGATGGGCTGTCGCCTCCCTGCAGGCTCCACGTGCCCCCCGGCTGCAGCACTGAGCTCAACCACCTTGGCTACCAGTTTGTGCAGAGGGTGTTTGAGAAGCACGACCAGGTGAGAGCATGGCGACACGCCCGCCCCCGCCCCTCTCCAGCACACATGCCACCGCATCCCTCCTCCTGCAGGACCGCGACGGCGCCCTCTCGCCCGTGGAGCTGCAGAGCCTCTTCAGCGTGTTCCCAGCAGCGCCCTGGGGCCCCGAGCTCCTGCGCACAGTCCGCACAGAGGCCGGCCGGCTGCCCCTGCACGGATACCTCTGCCAGTGGACGTAAGCGCGGCCCACACCACACCCTCCCGCTGCGCCACCCTCCCCACCGTAACACTGTGTCTCCCGCCCGCCCCCAGCCTGGTGACCTACCTGGACGTCCAGAGCTGCCTCGGACACCTGGGCTACCTGGGCTACCCCACCCTCTGTGATCAGGACTCGCAGACTCGCGCCATCACAGGTGGGCATCCACCTCCCTGGACCTGGGCCCAGCATCCTGGCGGCCGTCCTAACCTGTGTCCATCCTCACAGTCACCCGTGAGAAGAGGCTGGACCAGGAGAAGGGACAGACGCTGCGGAGCGTTCTCCTATGCAAGGTGGTGGGGGCCCGTGGAGTGGGCAAATCTGCCTTCCTGCAGGCCTTCCTCGGCCACGGCCTGGGGGTAAGCACCCTAGACCCCCCCACCCCCACCCCAGGGGCTCCAGGTGCGGGGCAGGGCAATCTGGGGGGCGCTGGAGCCAGCGAATGTCGGGACCTCACCTCCCTCAGCACCAGGACACGAGGGAGCAGCCTCCCGGGTACACCATCGACACGGTGCGGGTCAACGGACAGGAGAAGTACTTGATCGTGAGTACTGGGGTGGCATGGCCTGTGCCTGAGGGCGGACCCAGGGACACCCGGGCCTGCTTGGCAGAGCTGGCCCAGCACGGCCCTAGGGGGACCGAGCCCAGGGACCCTCCCTAAGGCCACTGTCTGTCCCAGCTGTGTGAGGTGGGCACAGATGATCTGGCCACGTCGCTGGACGCCGCCTGTGATGTTGCCTGCTTGATGTTTGATGGCAGTGACCCAAAGTCCTTTGCACATTGTGCCAGCGTCTACAAGGTGGGGCCCTGCAAGGGCCACATGGCCACGGGGCAGGGTCTGTCCCCCCAGGGGTGCCTCGGCCACCCCAGACTGTACCTCATATTGCTCTCTGCCCACAGCACCATTACATGGACGGGCAGACCCCCTGCCTCTTCGTCTCCTCCAAGGCTGACCTGCCCGAAGGTGGTGTGCCGGTTGGCCCATCGCCAGCCGAGTTTTGCCGCAAGCACCGGCTACCAGCTCCTGTGCCGTTCTCCTGTGCTGGCCCAGCCGAGCCCAGCACTGCCATCTTCACCCAGCTTGCCACCATGGCCACCTTCCCGTGGGTACCCGGCAGCACAGCCCTGGGGACTGGCAGCGTCTGTCATCTGGGCAGTGGGTAGCTGTGGTGTCAGGCCTGGAAATGGGGCCAGAGTGACGGACGGGGTGGAGCTTTGTGTGACAGAGGGAGCCAGTGTCCAGACGTGCTCCTCCAGGGCCTGGCCTCTGCCGGCTGTGCCTCTGGTCTGGGAACCTGGCTCTGAGGCCCTGTGAGTCCAGGACATGGGAGGGTGCCCAGCAGCAAGCCAGGGACATGTGCCTGAGGCATCTGCAGATGATCCTTTTCTCTTGCAGACATTTGGTCCACGCAGAGCTGCATCCCTCTTCCTTCTGGCTCCGGGGCCTGCTGGGGGTTCTCGGGGCCGCCATGGCCGCAGTCCTCAGCTTCTCGCTCTACAGGGTCCTGGTGAAGAGCCAGTGAGGCCCCTGGTACCTAAGTCCCCTCCCCTGATGGTGTGGCTCACTGCGGGGGCTCTGCAGGGGCAGCACAGCTGGGGTGCAGGCCAGGCTGCCACTCTGGGAATGCCCTTCTGCCCTGACTTTTTGTTTCTGAAGGCAGTCGGTCTGCAGCAGGGCCTCAGGCTGCCATGCACTGTCCTGGCTCCTGCCAGACCCCCAGGGTGGGCCGTGGCAGGTGGCTGAGCAGGAGCTCCCGAGTGCTGGCCACCACTGTCAGGGGTTGCCCACATCTGGGCATCATGTGTGTTGGGCTGGGGAGCACAGGTGTGGGAGCCGGTGACCCCAGACCCGGAATTCTCAGGGCTCTACCCCCCTTTCCTGATCCTGGGTGGCCAGTGGGTGTGAGGAGGGCTGGAAGGCAGAGCTTTGGGCTAAAAGCAGGCATTGGGGGGGTTCCCCCCTCAAGTTTGGAGCTATTTCTGTGATTGCAGCAGGGACTGGAGGTTGGGTTCCTGATTAAACTTCACTGTGTCTTTTCCATCTGGGATCCCAGTCTCTGAAGACAACTTGCCTTGATTCAACCTAGAATGTGTTGTTTGTCTTCATGTGGGCTGGAAATGCCACCCCTTCCTTCGTCCCTGGGTCACTGTCCTGAGGTCTCAGGCATGTGCATATGGCCTCTGGAAGGTCCACTCTGGGCCGCTGTGGCCTGGGAGCCAGTGTCCCTGGAGGTCTTGCGGTCTGGGAGCAGGAGCTCACTGCATGAGGACGGTGTGTGCCCGGCATGGATTGGGGGGCATCAGTACCTGAGATGTTTTCCTGATGGCCCCTTCTGAGGGTCCAGTGTGCCCCGGCACTGCCCACCCACTCCCCAGAGTGTCCTGTCGGCCTCGCTGAGCTGCGCCAAGAACCTGGGCTTGTGTGACCATATGTGGTCACCGCCTGCCACAGAGCAGGGTGACCCTGGGGCCCTGACCCAAGGGAGGGAGGCAGGATGGACCAGAAGGAGGGACAGGCTGGGATTTGAGTCCAGATACCTGCTTCTCGGGACCCAGGGCATGGCCTTCCCAAAGTCACCCAGACACATGTCAGAAGGCCTGGTCCCCACCTCCGGTGTCTGCCTTTAGGGAGTGGCAGATGGGGCTCCCTCCCAAGTCCTGGCCCATGCGGACCCTGCCTTGGAGCTTGTGGCATTGGCCCCTCAGGTACCTACCGCCTAATGCTATTTGAGCCCGCTGTACCCCATGGCCTGCCTTCTGGGACCACTGCAACCCTAGGAGGAGCCCTCTGAGTGGCTTTTGCAGGGGCTGCCATAGGCACATGTTTTTTGTTTTGTTTTGTTTTGTTTTTTTTTTTTGGAGACAAGAGTTTCACTCGTTGCCCAGGCTGGAGTGCAATGGTGTGATCTCGGCTCACTGCAACCTCTGCCTCCCGGGTCCTGGTTCAAGCAGTTCTCCTGTGTAGCTGGGATTACAGGCACGTGCCACCACACCCAGCCAATTTTAGAGACCAGGTTTCATCATGTTGGCCAGGCTGGTCTCCAACTCCTGACCTCGTGATCTGCCCGTCTCAACCTCCCAAAGTGCTGGGATTACAGGTGTGAGCCACCGCGCCGGGCAGTCACACGTGTTTTATCTGTCACCTCCATTGTGGAGGGGTTGGCCACCTTCCCAGGAGTAGGTCCCCTCATCCCAACTGCAGCCCTGCCCCCTGGGGGTTCCACTCTGTGTCGGAATGCCCCTTGTGCCCAGCCCTGGCGCCTTCTTAGGGTGGGAGGTTTTGCTGTCCTTCATGGAGTTGCAAGAGCGGTCGGGGCCTCCACCCCAGGGTGTGGATGAGTGGGCTGGGCTTGGTCGTCGGAGCCAAGGCGGCTGAAGCAGGGTCTTCCTCACCCTAAGGTGGCTGTAGCGGCCATGCAGGGCGAGGGGCTTCCTTGCTGCCGTGCTAGGTGGGGCGGGGCGTGGGAGGAGGAGAGGGTGTGTCTGCCGCAAGAAAGGAGCTGCAGCCGTGGGAACATGAACCGCAGGGAGCACTGGGTCAGCCTGTGGGGGCGGCAAGCAGTGGTCAGGGAAGGCTTCCTGGAGGAGGTGACATCCTCACAGGCCTGAGCCCAGGAGGGCTGTGAGAGGGCGAACGGACTTACATGGGGGTTTTAGGTGCCCCCTCAACCCCCGTGACTCCATTTACCAGCGGCTGCCGCGGAGGTCATCCAATGTGCTGGAGCTGCGCCAGAGCGGGGATGGGGGTCGGCACTGAGACGCGGTGCTCGCTGGAGGCGGTTCCTGTCCAGGGTGTGCGTCCGCGTGCAGGGTGCGCGCGTGTCTTGGCCGCGCGTGGCGGCGTGTGCGGCAGGGGCGGGCAGGCGGGCGACTTGGTGACGCGGCCCAAGCGCGGCGCCGAGCGGAGCGGGCGGAGCGGGCCGGCTGGGGCGGAGCGGAGTCGTCCGCAGAGCAGCCCCTCCCGGCCGCGGCCGCCGACCCCGGCCCCCGGCCCGGCTCTATGGATAGGAGCTCCCTGCTGCAGCTCATCCAGGAGCAGGTGCGTCGCGGGGTGGTCTGGGGAGCTGGCACCGCCCCCAATGCGGCCCTCCTGCCGCTGAGCTGAGCTTGTGCAGGACCGAGCTCCCCGAGAGCCCCGCTCGGCACCCACCCCATCCCGGCACGACCTTGGCCCCTGTGTCTGGGACCCCAGGAGAGGGCTGACTGGACCAGGGCTCCTGGCTGGAGAAGGGAGAGTCCGGGGAAGGGAGGGAGGGAGGGAGGGAGAGCGGGCAGCTGGCTGGTCTTGGACCTTGGCCCTCCCCTTCCAGGATGGGTAGGGTGGAAGACGGGGTAACAGCTGAGGAGCTGGAGGACTGGGACCCAGGCACCAGTGCCTTGCCAGCTCCTGGGATCAAGCAGGGTCCCGGGGAACAGGCAGGCACGAGGCGCCTGTCCCAAAAGTGCTGGGAGCCTGAGCCTGATGCTTGCAGCCAGCCTGGCCCAGCCCTTTGGTCCAGGGGTCGGGCCCGCACTCAGGCCTTGGCTGGCGGCTCCTCACTGCAGCAGCTGGACCCCGAGAACACAGGCTTCATCGGTGCGGACACCTTCGCTGGCCTGGTGCACAGCCATGAACTGCCCCTGGACCCGGCCAAGCTGGACATGCTGGTGGCCCTGGCTCAGAGCAACGAGCAGGGCCAGGTCTGCTACCAGGAGCTGGTGGACCTGGTCAGTGCCACGGTGGGCAGGCGGCAGGGGCGTGGTGTCCTAGCCAGAGGAGGCGGGAAGGCGACTCCTCACTGCAGGGGGGTTTGTGGATGCGGGAAGCTGGGCGAGCGTCCCAGGCAGGGGTGCCATGGGGAGGTCCGTGGCCCACTCTCAGGTCCCTGTCCCCAGATCAGCAGCAAGCGCTCCAGCAGCTTCAAGCGGGCCATTGCTAATGGACAGCGGGCACTGCCCCGGGACGGGCTGCTGGACGAGCCGGGCCTAGGTGTCTACAAGCGGTTTGTGCGTTACGTGGCCTATGAGATCCTGCCCTGCGAGGTGGACCGCCGCTGGTACTTCTACCGTCACCGCAGCTGCCCACCCCCCGTGTTCATGGCCTCGGTCACCCTTGCCCAGGTGGGCCCCCCAGCCGCTGCCCCGGGAGCCTCCGGCGCTCTTGGCCTTGACCAGCCTAACACTCGTGTCCCCAGATCATCGTGTTCCTGTGCTACGGGGCCCGCCTCAACAAGTGGGTGCTGCAGACCTACCACCCCGAGTACATGAAGAGCCCCCTCGTGTACCACCCTGGGCACCGTGCCCGCGCCTGGCGCTTCCTCACCTACATGTTCATGCACGTTGGGTGAGTAGCGCGGCTGCCCGGTGAGCCCCCCTCCCTGCACTGCTGTTACATCAGAAAGACTAAAGCCCCAGGGCAGGTGCAGCAACTTGAGGCGAGGGCTGGGGGTGGGGCCGGACGGCTGACCCCACCCCTTGTGCCTGTTTGCTCCCGTGTGGCCAGGCTGGAGCAGCTGGGGTTCAACGCTCTCCTGCAGTTGATGATCGGGGTGCCCCTGGAGATGGTGCATGGCCTGCTCCGCATCAGCCTGCTATACCTGGCAGGCGTGCTGGCAGGTGAGGCAGGCGCGCACCCCCACCCCCTGCCCTGGCCGGCTGCACCCTCACCCGCCGCTTGCTCACACAGGCTCCCTAACTGTCTCCATCACCGACATGCGGGCCCCGGTGGTGGGAGGCTCCGGCGGGGTCTACGCCCTGTGCTCAGCACACCTGGCCAACGTCGTCATGGTAACGGGCCTGCCCGGTGGGGGGTGTGGGGAGGGGCCCCTGGTGAGCCTCACCACTTCTCATCTGCACACCCCCATAGAACTGGGCTGGGATGAGATGTCCCTACAAGTTGCTGAGGATGGTGCTGGCCTTGGTGTGCAGTGAGTAGCGGGCTGGGGGGAGGGCTGGGGGGCCTCTCAGCCTGCAGCCAGGGCACCTCCCACCTGCCGCGTCCCTCTGCAGTGAGCTCCGAGGTGGGCCGGGCCGTGTGGCTGCGCTTCTCCCCACCGCTGCCCGCCTCGGGCCCGCAGCCCAGCTTCATGGCGCACCTGGCGGGCGCGGTGGTGGGGGTGAGCATGGGCCTGACCATCCTGCGTAGCTACGAGGAGCGCCTGCGGGACCAGTGTGGCTGGTGGGTGGTGCTGCTGGCCTACGGCACCTTCCTGCTCTTCGCCGTCTTCTGGAACGTCTTTGCCTACGACCTGCTGGGCGCCCACATCCCCCCACCGCCCTGACCGGCTACCTGAGGCTGCAGAGGCCAGGGTTCGGCATGTGGTGGCCACCCACCAGGAGCCTTCACGTCTGCCCTTTGTGAACGGACATCTCAGGGCTGCTGCGCCCCTCGGGTGTGGGTGGCCTCAGAGGAGACCCTGTCCCAGCCACCCCCCTACCCCCAGGACTTGCGGTCTGAGCCTTTTTGGATAATTAATAAATATTTTACACAGCATCAGGGGGCTGTCCCGGGCTTTGGAGACTTGTCAGGACCCCCACACCTGCTGAACAGACCATGAGGGCCCTCCCCACCACTAGGGCCTGGACTTCCCTCCCTGTGCACCTCTGCACCTGAGGTCAGGTGTGGGAGGTGTTTCCGGGCCACGGGTGCTGTGTCTATGGGAGTTGGAGGCACCCAGGAGGGTTGGGGGCCGGGTGTGTGGTCAGGCCGGGTGTGTAATCACGCATGAGTCTGGGAAGTGTTTATTGAGCTCCCATAGTGGCTGGCCTACTCTTCAGCCTCCCTGCCATCCAGTGAGACCCGGAGGCCTAAGGTTGTGTAGCAGGTGAGCAGGCCTGGACTATAGCCAAGTTCACTCGGCCTGGGTCCCATGCTTCTTGGCTGGCCTAGTGTCCACGTGGGTGGCCAGGCTGGGGCCAAGGTTGGGCAGCAGGTCTGGGCACAGCCTCTGCCCCACGGCCCAGGTCCACAGTGCTGTCTCCACTAGGTGGGGAGCACACAGACTCAGGCCCAGGGGCACGGGCCACCCCAGCCTGCCCACACACAGTTCATTCACCTTGGCTCAGAGCTGTGGCCCACTCTTGAACCTGGCCCAGGTACAGCAGGTAGTACCTGACGGTGTACTGTGGGGCCGGCAGGCCGGGCACTGTGACCACTGCCTCATCTGACATGAAGGCCTCCATCTCGAGCTCCAGGCACCAGGACTGCTGTGAGCAGCGAGGAGAAGCAGCCGGACACCCCATCGGGACAAGCTCTGGCTCCGACTCCTGGTTCTAGAGACACACAAGGGCCCAGACTGTCTGCTTCACAGACAAGGACGCTTATGTACCCAAGTCGTGCCCACCCAACTCACCTGAGGCTGTGACTGTGGTGGGTCCACACTGCAGAGGGCAGACAGCTGGGTGACCGCGGCCCCCACATCTGGCAGGAGGCAGAAGGTGGTGGTCGAACAGTGCACAGCCAGCTCAGGGGGATTGGTGGTCACCAGCTGCTGTGAGAAGCCAGGTCAGGGTGCCCGGGGTGGTGGACCCACAGGGAGGCCGACCCACAGGGAGGCCCCGCCCCCACGAAGACCCGCTCTGGAGGCCCCGCCCCGCCGATGCCACGCCCCGATGAAGACCCGCCCTACGGAGGCCCCGCCCTCGAGGCGGGCCGCCCCTCGCCGCCAGCTTCCAGGCCAGCAGCCGCTCCAGCTGCCTGTCACATGCTCTCCGCTCTGCCCCTGATGGCCGCTGGCAACTCGTCCCGATACCTGGGGAAGGGCGGTGAGGGGAGGTCCGGCCACAGGGGACGCTCGCCCACCGATCCCTTTATCCCCTTCCACTCTACCAACGGCCCAGGGCTTCCAGCCGCACTCGGGGGTCCGCGCGCGCCCGTAGGACCTCTCGATGGCGCTCCGGAATGGCGGCCCAGCGACTGGGGTCCTCACACCCAACAGCGCGGGAAGCCACTATGTTCACGCGGAGGGGCGGGGCCGGCTGCCGGGGGCGGGGCCGGCTGGGGGCGGGGCTTCTGGGTAGGTGCTGGCTGCTGAGGGCGGGGCCTCTGGGTGGGGCGGACTGTTGGGGGCGGGGCGTCTGCTGATGGGGCGGGCTGCTGGGGGCGGGGCGTCTGCCGATGGGGCGGGCTGCTGGGGGCGGGGCCGGCTGCCGGGGGAAGGGCCTCTGGATGGGGCCCGCTGCTTGGGGAGGGGTCTCTGCGCGTTGCGGCGGGGGCGGAACGCCAGGTGGTCGGAACAGGCTGTTGGGGGAGTGCGCCCTCAGCGAACCAAGTAAGGCATCTCACTGGGAAAGTCGAATGTGTGTGGCGGTCGCCGCCGAGGCCGGTTCCGAAGAGGCCTCAGCAGGGCGGGCCTGGGCCTCCGCGAACGCCGACCCTTAAGAGCGCCGAGCGAGGGAACCGGAGTGTTCCTCCCAGCCCCCGACGCCGCGGGCCTAGCGTCCCCGTCCAGGCTGATTGGGCGCACGCGCGGCCCCACTCGCCCCCACCCGTGCGTCCCCGCTGGTCCCGCCCCCGGCCGGAAGTTCCGGCGGTGGAGCTGGGCCGGGCCCGAGAGGATCGCGGGTTAGGGCTGCGGGGCTCGGGCTGCGGGCGCTGGGCCGCCAGGCGCGGAGCTTGGGAGCGCAGCCCAGGCCGTGCCGCGCGGCGCCATGAAGGGCAAGGAGGAGAAGGAGGGCGGCGCGCGGCTGGGCGCTGGCGGCGGAAGCCCCGAGAAGAGCCCGAGTGCGCAGGAGCTCAAGGAGCAGGGCAACCGTCTGTTCGTGGGCCGAAAGTACCCGGAGGCGGCGGCCTGCTACGGCCGCGCGATCGTGAGTGCGCTCGCGCGGGAAGGGCGGCGGCGGCGGCGCCACCGGGGAGGGCCGGGCCCGTGCCCGGCTGGCGCCACCGAGGGTCTGGTTCCTCTGCGGGGCATGTCCTGGGCTCCCAAAGCCCAGCCGTGGTTCCCGAACCCAGCGCCGGGTGTCGGAGAACGAGGGTGGGATGCTGGATGGAGGCCGGCCGGGTCGGGGGGAGGGCAGGGGCCCTCGCCCCTTGAGGATCCCAGGTCCAAAGCCCGGACTCTCCAAAGATTTGGAAAACTTTACAAAACCAAGTGGAGTCAAGCGGATAGGCTCAGCCAGTACTCCACTGTCTGCAGATCCTTGGATCCAGGGGCTTTGACGACTGAGAAGCCTAGTTTCTTGATTCTAGCCAGAGCGCAGAAGCTGGGACGGGCCGTGGGACAGAGGGGGCGCGCTGAGCCTACACCCTCATGCGGCTGGCCCGGCCTTGGTCCCTAGACCCGGAACCCGCTGGTGGCCGTATATTACACCAACCGTGCCCTGTGCTACCTGAAGATGCAGCAGCACGAGCAGGCCCTGGCCGACTGCCGGCGCGCCCTGGAACTGGACGGGCAGTCTGTGAAGGCGCACTTCTTCCTGGGGCAGTGCCAGCTGGAGATGGAGAGCTATGATGAGGCCATCGCCAATCTGCAGCGAGGTTGGCTGACAAGCTGCCCGGTTGTGGGGCCCCTGGGGCCAGGCGGGTGGACTGGCCAGAGAGTGACCTGAAGCCCCCGTTCCCCAGCTTACAGCCTGGCCAAGGAGCAGCGGCTGAACTTCGGGGACGACATTCCCAGTGCTCTTCGAATCGCGAAGAAGAAGCGCTGGAATAGCATCGAGGAGCGGCGCATCCACCAGGAGAGTGAGCTGCACTCCTACCTCTCCAGGCTCATTGCCGCGGAGCGTGAGAGGTGGGACCCTCACCCCAGGTCGCCCTGTCTTGGGATAATTCTGAATCACCAACTACCAACATGAGCGTTTATTGAAGGTTTTACTGGCGAGCAGAAAACGTGGGGAAGAAGCATGAATGTTAGCCCTGAGGTTGGGGTGTGGTCGGACATCTGGCCAGGTCCATCTCTTACTGGCTCCTGGTCAACCCCCAGGGAGCTGGAAGAGTGCCAGCGGAACCACGAGGGTGATGAGGACGACAGCCACGTCCGGGCCCAGCAGGCCTGCATTGAGGCTAAGCATGTGAGGGTGCCCCCCTCCCACATGTGGGTCTGTGTGTGTGCACCTGGCGTGGGAGCGTCCCCGCCTTGTGTTGGGTCTGTGCCCCATGGAGGAGGGAGGTGGGGTGTCCCGCACAAGTGCAGTGCTCAACTCTTCACAGGACAAGTACATGGCAGACATGGACGAGCTCTTCTCTCAGGTGGACGAGAAGAGGAAGGTGAGTGTCTGTCACTTGTTGCGGTGGGTGGCAGGTGCTGGAGCAGTGCCCCTTCCCAGCCTCTGATCGTGTGCCCCTGTGCCACAGAAGCGTGACATCCCCGACTACCTGTGTGGTAAGATCAGCTTTGAGCTGATGCGGGAGCCGTGCATCACGCCCAGTGGCATCACCTACGACCGCAAGGACATCGAGGAGCACCTGCAGGTGAGGCTGCGGCTGGGGGAGCAGGGCCAGCAGCATGGTCCTGGGCCCACTGACTGCCCTCTGCCCTTCTTGTCACTGCAGCGCGTGGGTCATTTTGACCCCGTGACCCGGAGCCCCCTGACCCAGGAACAGCTCATCCCCAACCTGGCCATGAAGGAGGTTATTGACGCATTCATCTCTGAGAATGGCTGGGTGGAGGACTACTGAGATTCCTCGCCCTGCCCAGCATCCCGGTCCAGGAGAGCCCTGGGCGGAAGCCTTCCACCCCTGTACATAGTCTGTGTTGCTGGCCACCCTGGCCCCTTCCAAGTTCTGCTGTTGGGCTCTGGACTATTCCCCCTCTCAGCATAGCTCTTGCTGGGCCGTGATTGTCCCCCCTTGTGGGCTGGAAAAGCAGGTGAGGGTGGGCTGGGCTGAAGCCACTGCCGCCACTGTCTGTGTAATAAAATCCGTGAGCACGAGGTGGGACGTGCTGGTGTGTGGCAGGCATGCCTGCCAGCTGCTTTGGCTAGCCGAGGAAGGTGGAGATGAAGACGCTGGTGTCAAGGTTGAGTGTGGCATGCCACCAGCGGTCAGGGAAGTACAGCACCTGGTGGAGAAAAGGGGTGCAGCACAGATTAGCTGGGGGCCTCTGGCCTGGCCTGGCCCTCTCCTGCCAGCCACTGACCTCACCAGCCCGGATGGTACACTCCAGGGGCCGTGCAGTCGGTGGCAGGGTTGGATATGTGTCCCGGAGCCAGGCCAGCGTGGTCTTGTTGGGGTGGAACTCTGGTGTCTTCTCAGGTGGGTAGAGGAACCAACGCTGGGGGCAGGAGCAGCAGTGTCACCCTTGCCCGTTTTGGTCACCGAACCCCAAGGCTCAACCCCAACCCTGTGCTGACCTTACGGCCGTAGATCACCTCCGAGTACCCGGGTCCATGCCAGTGGAAGGGCACCCCCGAGCCAGCTCCTGTGGAGTTATGAGCACCTGGTGACCAAGCCATTTTGTACCCACCCTCAGAAGCCTCATTCCTCCCCAGTTCCGAGCAGCGTTCACCTGCGATTCCAAAGCTGTAAGCTGGAGCGGTTCCCAGCAGGCCAAATGGGGGTGGGGAGTAGTACCGAAAGAGAGAGGCCCACTCGGTGAAGTTGTTGTCCCCGAAGAAGTACAGGGTGTCTGCCAGTAGAGACGGTGGGGGCAGGGATCCTGGCACCTGGAAACTCCAGGCGTCCCCACCCCCTACCGCCACCTAGGGCTGACTCACCATTGCCCAGGGAGGTGGGGTCCTGGGGGTGCAGCAGCTGCTCCACATACTCCTGGAACGGCAAGTCCACTGCAGGAGAGAGACGGGTTAGGACCGGCTGGTCCAGCCGTCCCGGTGCTGGCACACGGGCGTGCGCAGGGGCGGGGCCGCTCACCTTTCTGGTAGGAGTAGGTGTTGGCGGTGCTCAGGCGGACCACTCTGTCCCCAAACGAGGCCAGCAGCCTTTCGCGGGAGCACAGGGCCCGGAACCTCTGCGGGGGCGGGGAGGGGGTTAGTGGCCGGACCCAGCAGGGGCAAGAGTGGCCGGGGACGGGCGCGCGCTCACCGAGTTGTCCGTGAGTCCCTGCAGGATAACGGGCCTGACGAAGGCGTACCTGGAAAGAAGTGCAGAGTCGCGGCCAAGTCCGACCGTCACCCTCGCCGCCCCCGCCCCACACGCGCGCGCGCGATCAGGGAAGGCGGCCTTGGGCGGTCCGGGCAGACGGGCGTGTGAACAGAGCCCGACCTCCGCGATCAAGGAAGCACGTACTGCTGCACGAACTCGGCGTAGGTGAGGTCGGCCCGACGCTCCACCGTGCAGCGCTCCTCCTCCGCCACGGCCCCCGGCCCGCCCGGGCGCCTGCGGGTACAGCTGGGTCAGCCCGCGCCCCGCCTGCCGCACGTGCCCCCACCGCCCCGGCCCGTCCCGGGCCGCTCACCACCCGCCGTCGCCCTCCTCCCCGGAGCCGGGTAGAGCCACAGCCGCCAACGCCCAGAGCGCGAGAAGCCGCGACGCCGGCGCCATGAGCCCGGCGCCCTCAGACAGCCGCGTTGCACGCCGGGAACCTCGGGCCCGTCCGCCAGCCATTGGCTGGCAGCTTCGTCGTCGTGGCAACGGCCGGCAGCCGGGACGGACCCCGGAAGTGACCTCCTTTGGCCCGCCCCGGAAGAGGCCTCTACGGGAACGCAGGGAAGGCCGCCAGAGAGCGACTATTGGCGCCGCCGGTTACCATGGCGACAGCGCCGAAAGCCCCCGCCCGCCAGCAGCACCGCGGGCATACGGCGGACCCGCCGCGCGATGGGGTGACACGCAGTGCTGACAGCGGCTCCACTTCCTTTATTGGGGTCTCAGCCTCCGCCCGTCTCGGGCACAAGACCACGCGGAGTTCTGCACGCGGTCGGCCGGGCAGTCAGGTCCCCGGGCCCCAGGCAAACCCAGCAGACGCCCCGTCAGGAGTACTCGCAGAGGTGGCCGCAGCCCGCGGGACAGTGGGAGCTGCCTTCCAGCCATTTCATGATGTGCTGCAGGTGGCCGCCGTGGCTGCAGCCCTGGCACCACACGAACAGACCCTTGACCACGTGGTGGCAGACGGCACACATGCTAGCGCAGCGGTGGCACCTGGGGGCGGGCAGGAGGGAGGGCGCCTGAGCGGGGGCTCCTGCGCTGCCTGCAGGCCCCTGCCCCAGCTCCCAACCCCACTGCCCCACCTGTCGCAGACCCAGCCCCGGCTGCTCATGGGCCGCTTGCAGTGGCTGCAGTTGACGTGCAGGGTGGTGGAGGCCTGGTTGAGGCAGCTGACGGCGCGGCTAGTGCTCAGCTTGACCACCTCGTTGGACACGTTCCAGAGGCGGAAGCGCTGCAGTAGGTCGATGTAGGAAGTGTACCAGTGCTCCTGGGGGAGGGAGCGCCCGGTGGTCAGGATCTGGGTGCCAGGGGCGGCGCTGCAGAGGGGGAGGCCTCGCCCACCACACACCTGGGTCTGCTCGTCGATGTCCTTGCGCACCCGTTCACCCAGGATAATGAGCACAGATACAGCCATCTGCACGTCGCCCTGCTCAGCGTAGAAATGCAGCATGTCACGCACCAGCACGCTGAAGAAGTCAGGTGGCAGGCGGCTGTCGTAAAGTGCGTGTGAGACAGACAGGAGCGAGAAAGAGGAGTCCACGGGGGCCAGGGAGGCCACATCCGCCTCGCTGCCGCTCACGTGCGGGGAGTCGGCCTTGTCCTGCAGGTGCTCGGGCCCGGGAGGCGTGTCCACGATCTCGTGGCGCAGTGGAAAGGCCTCCTGCGGCAGCACACACTCAGGCTCCTCGGCTGGGAGGCAGGGACCAGCAGAAGCTCTGAGTCTCTGTCCTCCATTCACCTCTGAACCCCATCCTGCCCAGACCCCCACTCACGGTGCGCGTGTTCTGGATCCAGCAGGTACAGCTCGTCCTCCTCACCCTCCACATCACCCAGCAGGTAGTCGGCAGGTACGTCGCTGCCCTCGGTTTCCTCGTTATCTGCCCGACAATGGGGTGGGCGTTCAGGGTCCTCTGGGACACCCCCACCCTTCTCCCGTCAGCACCCCAGCCTACCCTCGTTGGTGATGAGTGTGGCCGAGGAGTCGAGCAGAACTGTATCGCTCCGTGCATCTCCTTTGCTGCGGTCCAGCCGCGCCTCACTGCCCAACCCTGGGGCCATATCCTTCAGATTGAAACTGGGGGCAGGAAGGGCCCATGGTTGGGGGGGCTCGAGCAGCCCCAGCCCCTGGGGAGAGCTGCCCCCGGCATCTACCTGTTCATGAGGGGCAGGCCACAGGAGCCACCCTTGCCCACGCTGTGGTTGAGGTTCGCAGTGGGCACCAGGCCAGGACTGCAGTAGATGATCCGTAGCATGGTCCAAGTTTGCGCCACCTAGGGGCGGGCACTGGTCACTTGTGGGCGTCCTGGACACCCAGCACCCCATGCAGGTCCCCCTCTGCCTGGACAGAATCACAAGCCCTCAGCATTCAGCTGCCCCAGGTACCCAATGTCCAGGCCCACCCCAAGTAGGAAAGCTGAGGCTCATGGGAAAGACAAAAATCTCAGGCACTGCCCTAGAGCAGCACAGAGGGAAACAGAACTGGGTGGTGGGGACCTGTGGGGCAGCCAGAGATGGGCATGGGAGCGGCAGCTCACAGCTCCACCACTGCTGGTGCGGGGAGAGCTCCAGAAGCAAGAGGGCAGAACAGAAAGCTTGAGTCACACGACTCCCCAGACCACCCCACAGAGGACAGTCCCAGGTCTGGCCCACCCTGGAGCCCTGGCCCTGTGTGATCCTGACACTCTCAGCGATCGGGGCAAGGGCTGTTGGTGTGACCGGCTGGAATCCATTGCGGAGCTTGAGGTCGGGGGGTGGGCACAGCTGACAGAGGAACAAGCCCCTGCCCTGAGGTCATGGCCCCGGGGCCCCCAGGCTCAACACCTGCCTACCTGGTTGCGGCCAAGCTCTCGAGCCACCTTTGCATTGTGGTCACAGAGCTCTGCCAGTGGCCGGCCAGCCAGCGCGTAACGCTCAGCTGTGTCTACAAACCAGCGCATGCCGCCGCCACCCGGCTCTGTCTCAAAGACACTGAGGGCGCTGGAGGCCAGGCCTGCGAAGGGCTCGGCAGGGTCCAGCTTGCGCTTAAAGAAGATGGGGTGGCGCCGGTCGCCAGTGTAGGGCTTGCGCCCCGACTCGGCAGCCACTAGGCTTTCCTTGGCGGCGAAGGCCAGGTCCCCGAAGAGGCCGTAGCAGAGGCCCTCGGGGTTGGCACGCTCGACAGGCTGGCTGGCATCGCGGAACAGGTGCTGGCACAGTGAGCTGTCCTTGGAGCCAGACAGCAGGAAGGAGGGGTCGTGGGGGTGGCGCCAGGCGATTCCCGTAGTGACGTCTCGGTGCTCCTCAAACATGGCAGCTGGCACGAAGGGCCGGCGCACATCCCAGACGTAGATGTTGTGGTCCACCATCATGGAGCACGTGGCCAGGTGGTGGCGGCACTCAGGCCGCCACTTGACACGGGCCACTGAGGCGATGGTCTGCACACAGTGCATCTCCTTGGCACGATGTGTGGTCATGTCCCAGACCTTCACCATCTTGTCGCGCCCTCCTGTGGCCAACCAGCCCCTGTGGGAAGGCCCACCCAAACCCTCAGTGGCCTTTCCTGTGGAGAGGGGACCCCCTAGCTCTGCTACTCCAGACTGACTCACAAGTCTGAGGCAGTGAGAGCTTACTGTCAACCTGCTGCCCCCTGCACCCCATGCCACACCTATCCTCGGGGTGCCAGTCGCAGCAGAAGACGGGTCCATTGTGGGCTGTGAACATCCTCTCACACCGGTCGGGACGCCGGATGTCCCAGAGCTGCACGTTGCCATTCTCGAAGGTGGAAGCAAAGGTGAAGTAGTCCCGGATACTGAACTGCACGTCCCGCACGCTCTCAGACTGGCCTGCAGGCAGGGGATCGATGCAGGGGAGGTGACGGGGCTGGCCCACGAGGTGCACCCTCAGAGCAGCTGTGGCATGGTGTCACACACCTGCCTGTGGCCCAGAACAGAGGCCCAGAGGGTAGACTGGACATCCCCAAGATCTGCCCAAGAAAGCAGCCACACGCAGTCGCCACAACAGCCTGGGCCGGGGAGCAGGACGCCAGGTGGTTTTTAACACATACTCCCAGGCCTCATTTGCCCTAGATTCTGCATCCTGCGTCGGTCCCTGAGCAAAGCTGTGGTGCATCCTCAGGATGCAGCAGCTGAGCACTGGGCAAGCAGGAACCCACCCAGCCATAACCCATCCCACGGCCCTGTGGGAGGCCCGAGCAGGAACCCGCCTGGCCATAACCCACCCCACGGCCCTGTGGGAGGCGCAAGGAGGTGTTGACGAGGGTGCCCCACCCTCGGCCCAGTCCCTTCACCTGAAGCTGGAACTGCCTGGTCCGCCCCAAAGGACTGGATGAGTCAGGGTCCAGGTCCACCCTAGGGCACCACCACACCAAGAGACTTCGAGGGCGGTACCCAACCTTCCTCTAGGGCCCTCCAGGGGAGGCAGCTCAAGATGTGTCTTTTTTTTTTTGAGATGGAGTCTCCCTCTGTCACCCAAGCTGGAGCGCAGTGGCACGATCTTGGCTCACTGCAATCTCCGCCTCCCAGGTTCAAGCCATTCTCCTGCCCCAGCCTCCCGAATAGCTAGGATTATAGGCGCGTGCCACCAGGCCTGGCTAATTTTTTGTTTTGTATTTTTAGTAGAGATGGGGTTTCACCGTGTTAGCCAGGGTGGTCTCAATCTCCTGACCTCATGATCGGCCTGCCTCAGCCTCCCAAAGTGCTGGGATTACAGGCGTGAGCCACCATGCCTGGCCAGGATCTGTCTAAAGTGGCCCGTAAATTCTCTGAGTCCCTTGAGGGCTCCGCCTTGTGCTTCATACCTAGTCTCCTCCAGGTGAACAAGGGAGAGTTGGTTCAGGTCAGCCATCGGGGAGCTGGGCCTGTTAGGAAAAGGGTCCCGGGGCACTGGACAGCAAACCCACCTCCTCTGCCTCCCTGGGCCAGGAAACCTTGAAGTCCTGGCGGGCCTCCTGCTATGAGGCGGCCTCTGCAGCTCCGAGGTGAGGGAAGAGAGTCATGCAGTGGCTCTCTGCTCATCACCGGGGCTGGCTGGGAGACCGCTGGGGCTCTGCGCTCCCTTACCCCACAGCTAGCCTCAATTTCTGTTGGTCTCATCTCTTGCCTCTTTCCACTTCACTGCCCTGGCTCACATGCAGTCCAGCCCAACCTGCCCCAACCCTCCCGTGCTGATTCCCTTTCCCCCTGAGAAAGCCCTCTGTGAGTGATCCTGAGGGCCTCTGATGCACGGAGCCCTTCTCCGCCTGCATGGACAGGCTGGGCACTGGCAGAGATGCCCACCTGCCCTGACCCGCCTCTGTGGCCTCACCCGAGAAGGTGCTGACAGAGTCCTTTCTGCGGAGGTCAAAGCACTTCATGAAGCCATCCTGGGAGCCACTGAGCAGCACGTGGGCTTCAGTGGGGTGGAAGCACACTTTGTTCACCGTGCGCTTGTGTTCTGTGAACAGCTGGTCCTGCTTGTTGCGGGACGGCCGGCCCAGGTTCCACGTGACCACCACACCATTGGTGGCTGCTGTGGCCAGCAGGTTCTCATCCATCTGGTGCCACACCACGTCAGCGCAGCTCAGATTAAGTGAAGGCTTACGCCCCACACGCAGGTTCAGCTTCTCC